TGAGGGAAAGGGGGATGAGGGAAAGGGGGATGAGGGAAAGGGGGATGAGAGAAAGGGGGATGAGGTAGGGTTGAAGACAAGGGAAGGTGGTGATGTGGACGGAGAGGCGAGGAATGGGAAAGGGGAAAAAGTAAAAGAGATACAAAGGGCGGATGTACAACAGGGGGAGGAGGGCGAGAAGGCCGCACCAACGGAAACAGACTCGCATCCACGGCACCGACTACGGGTCACCGGCCTCTGCGACTGGAGCAGCTGTGTGTTTGGCGACCCCCTCCTCGCGGCCGTGTTTAGCGACCCGCAACAGCAACAGCCGCCCTCGAGCGCGTTCCTCGGGGGCTTCAGCGGCGAGAAGCAGCGCGAGCCCAACCCAGACTACCACCACAGGAGGCCCCTCGATCCACACCACCACCTCCCCTTCCCCTTGAACGAGATTGTCATTGAAGCTACCGACACGGCCTGGATCAGGATCTTGCTCTACCAGGTCTACCACGCTGCGACGCATATCGTGGGCGAGTTCTACCGGCCGCGGCAGGACAGCAGTGCCCGGGAGCTTGAGGCGCGAAGGAAGCTGAACGAGGCGCTGGCGAGACTGGCTGAGGTGCCGGATGATGCGAAGAGGAAGCACCAAAGGCCGAGTGGCGAGATGTCGCCTGCAAAGAGACAGAGGGGCCCCGAAGAGAGGTGTTGAGGGTATTTTCAAGGAATAATGGCCGAAAGGGGGATTTCGGAGCCATTAAATGTCCTTGCAAAACAGCGGAAAATAATTGTGGATGGCAGGACATGTGTATCTGCATTGTTGCACTGCAGGATATGCGTCCTACATGTTGTCTTCATCCCAGTCCCCCTCATCGTCCCGTGGCAAGGTCATACCCATTAAACCGAGCAGGTTACCCGCGGGACCGGCCATGCCTGCCTGGCTCTTGAAGCTCTCCAGGAGGTTCTTGGCGAGGTTGTAATCAATATCCACCTCCTCGTCGCTGCCTTCGTTGTCGGCCTCTTCCCTGGGCGCAACTGCTCCTGCTGTGGATGGTCCCTCACCCTTCTCAGTGATCGAGGACGTAGCATTCGGCTTAGGGTCAAACTCCAATACGCCGTGGCCCTTGAGCTCTGATTCCATCTGCTCCATGAGCTTCCGAATTTCTTCGTCTTCGTCCTCCTCTTCTTCGGCCATCTCTCCCTGTGCCGCTTCCTCCTCGACAGCCTTTGCGTTGCCCTTCTTCTGGGTCACATCCTCCGCCGGAAGGCCCATCATATCCCGCATCATCCTCGCAAACTGCTCCTCATCAAAACTAATCTCTTTATCTTCCTCCTCGTCGTCGTCGTCGTCCTCCTCCTCCTCCTCACTGTCATTGTCCCGATCCATCTCCTCGATCTCAGCCCCCTCAATCCCCGCCGTCTCATCATTCAAAAACGCCTCAAACCTCGACACAATCTTTTGCAAATCAGCCTGCGCAGCGGCATTCCCAAAACCCCCTCGCTCACCACCACCTCCTCCTTCTCCATTATTACCACCTCCAGCCGTTCCCTTCACCTTCTCCTTAGTCTTCCCCTCCAACTCACGCTCAAACTCCTCAAAATCAATATCCATCCACCCGTCATCATCCTCCCTGTCCACTCCCTCCCATCGCGCAATCTCCTCGTCCAAAGGCAGCACCACTTCATCCCCGCCGTCCTCGGCCAGATCCTCCAGGAGTAGCGCCACCTCCCTGATGACACGGTTCGAACTCTCGTGCGCCTGCGCTGCTTGTAGTAGCATCTCGAAACCCGTAGTGAGCTTCATGCCCAGTTCAAGCCGCGCCAGTTTCTTTTTCGCTTCTGCGGCTCTTGCCGATTCCGGTGCTGCTGCTGCTGCAATCGTCGTCGTCGCAACCTCGACCTCGGCGTCGCGCAGCCGGTTGCTCCATACCAGCGGCGGCGGGAAGTGCTGCATCACGAGCTGCGCGTAGAGGACGCGCGTGAAGCGGACGCTGACTGTGACGAGGTCGGTGGGCGGGAAGATGAGTTTGTTTGAATTAGGAGAGAGAAGAGGCTTGAGGGAGTCCGCGGTGCGCAGGTAGAAGGCTTCGGTTGCCGGGGCGATGGACTTGGGTAGGGTCTGGAGGATGTAGGCTAGTTTTCGCGGGATGGTGGCCCGGGAGTGGTGGAGGGAGGTGAGGATGTGGGAGGGATATTTTTCGAGGCGGTAGAAGGCTTCTGCTTCGACTAGGGGGGAGTAGACGAGGGCGGAAGACGGGGTGGTTCTGAGCGTTGAGATGGCTTCGGCGAGGGTAAGGGGTTTGGAGTTGGAGTTGGAGATAGAGGGGCTTGAGGTGTTCGTGGCACTGCTTGGCGGGATGATGAGCAGCTTGCCTTCGTGGATCCAGACGCGGTTGGTGTCATTCTCCGGGCTGAGCCATTTCGGAGTGACCTTGGCGGCTTCGATGAGGAGGAACTCGCCGTCATTGTCGGAGACACGGACCCAAAGGCTGGGATATGTCTTGCTCAGTTCTCGCAGGAGGTACACAATGAGCCATTCGTCCTCGACATTGTCTCCGTAGCGGGTGGTCCCATGTAGATATGGGATCCCGAGGCCTGTGTGAGAGTTAGTCACTGTTTCTTGATGACAGGAGGCAGAACGTACCCTTTTGTACCTTTGTTTCCAGCTTAAACGGCTCTCTCTGCCAGATGTAGTCCTTGGCCAGCTCATCCAGCTTCTGATCTGCAGCCTTGCGAACTGATTCCAGACTGGGAAGGGTGTTGCTCGTCTTGTCGCCAATGACGAAGAGCATGTACTCTACACAGTCCTCGGCGGGTCTCATTTGAAATCCATCAAAGTCCTCGTCTCCCGGTCGTGGCTCCCTGGCAGTGTCCATATCTAGAGGTCCGTTTACAGTCCAGCTCTGGTTCGTTCGTTAGAATGGCACAGGCATGCACCCTATATGAAATAGAAGGTCAAGTGAAAGGAGAAGCGTAGATACCTGATTTCTGCGCTAATGAAACCAACCGGGTTTGAACTGTACTGGTTCCCTTGGGGCCTTGTGCCCGAAGCAAAGTTGTATGTGATCACAAATGCGGGTGGAACGGAGGTCAAATTTTCATCCGCAAGGCCGTTCTCATGAACGCTTTGCATCTACCGTTTGTTTAATTAGACTCGTTCCGGCCATGATACCAATCTCGTTCTCTTACACACCAAGTCTCCAAGTTGAAGTTGGGTTTGATGGTGGGGTTCTGGTGGGATTCTGGTGGGGTTCTGGTGGAGCTAGCGTGCGGATCAGACGCGCTTTCAGCCCAGGCGCGTTTCCGTCCTGAAGTCACTTCCCATCCCCAAAGTCACCTCGTCGTCAAGGCATTGCCCAGGTTGTCCTTAGATTTATGGGAGTTCGAACGGCATCGTGCATCTCGTCATTTTTTGCAGGCTGGCACAGTGAGTGATCACAGCGACAATGCCCTCCAGGACCATAAACGGCCTGCAGGCAGAGCCTTCGCGGAAACGCGTCAGACACGCTGCTCCCGGGGACAGCGACGATGAAGAGGTCCTTGAGGTTCAACAGGCACGCTCAAACTTCCGGGCTGAGCCTGTAAGCATCCTGGCCCGACAGAGGTCGGTCTGATGATCGTTTATGCTTACAGCAAGAATGTTCAGCGAAAACGACCGCGCGTCTCTGATGTCGGCGATGATAAGAGCGAACGCCACTCTAATCGAAAATCCACTCCGTTGGACGACGATCAGGATGAGGCCGAACCTCAAGCACCCACCTCCCCGAGCACACCTCCGAAAACCCAGTATGAGTTAATGAGAGATAATAATTTCGAGCATCTCCGCAACGAGGCCCTCGACGACCAACGCGCAACGCAGCGGCTCCGCTTCCGCCCCAACCTGCTCGGCCAGAGCGCCATTGCCGAGAACGGCATCATCGAGAGTGTCACCTGCATCAACTTCATGTGCCACGTCCGCCTCCACTGCGAACTTGGTCCTTTGCTTAATTTCATCGTCGGAGAAAATGGAAGCGGGAAAAGCGCCATCCTTACAGCCATCACTTTGTGTCTTGGTGGCAAGGCCAGCTCGACGAACCGCGGAGTCAGCCTCAAAAGCTTCGTCAAGGAAGGCTGTGAGCGCGCCGTGCTCATCGTCAAGATCAAGAACCGCGGTCAAGATGCCTACAAGCCCGATATCTACGGCGAGTCCGTCATCGTGGAGCGCCACTTCTCCAAGACTGGCAGCAGCGGCTTCAGGGTCAAGACTGCCCTCGGCCAGGTGCACTCGGTCAAGAAGCAGGAGGTCGACGACCTCGTCGAGTACTACGCTCTGCAGGTCGACAACCCCCTGAACATTCTTTCCCAAGACAACGCCCGCCAGTTTTTGAATTCGTCCACCAAGACCCAAAAGTACAAGTTCTTCATCGAGGGCGTCCAGCTGCAGCAACTAGATAACGATTACCGGCTGATCTCGGAGAGCCTCGAGCAGATGGAGGCCAAAGTCCCGGACCAACAGGAGCGCGTCAAGCATGCCAAGGTCGCCATGGACAGGGCCCAGCGTTTGATGGATCAGGTTGAAGGCAACCGCCAGATTCGGCACAAGCTTCGGATACTGCGCAGCCAGATCGCTTGGTGTCAGGTGGAGCAGCACGAAGAAGATCTCCGCAAGAGAGAGAACGAACTTAAGGAGGCCGAAATCCGCCTTGTTGAAGCGCAGCATGATGCGGAAGCGAAGAATCAGGCCCTGCAAATAGCCGACGAAAAAGTCGAACGCGCTGAAGAGGCATTGCAAGTCGTCAAAGACGAGGAAGGCGAAGTCCAGGAGCGGGTAAATAGCGCCAGTGCCGTTTTCAAGAGGCTGAAGGACGAGATTGAGAGGCTTCACGTCGAGGAGCGCGAGGCTCACCAAGCCTTGAAGGCCAGCACCGAGCGTGTGAAGGATGCTGAACGAAAGATTGTTGTGGAACAGGAGAAGCTGGAGGCTGCCAACGGCGAGGAGCACACGATGAAATTGCGAGAGCTTGATGAGGCAAACGAGACCATCAAGCGGCTCGAGAACGAGATTCAAGAGAACAAGGATCGTGAGCCAGAAGTTGTCAACAGGGCCGACGTTTCTAAAAAGGCACTGGAGAAAATCGACGAGGAGGTCAGACGGAAGCAAAACGAGATCAACGAGGTTGAGTCGAGAATGAAGCGCCTTCAAGAAGACCGTGGATCGATATGGGATGCGTATGAGGCGCAAGTCCCTAACCTTGTCAAGAGGATTGCGAACGAGAAAGGCTTCGAAAACAAACCGATTGGGCCGCTGGGCACTCATGTCCAGCTGCTCAAGCCCGAGTGGTCGTCCATTCTCGAAAAGACCTTTGGCGCCAGTCTCAACGCCTTCCTCGTCACAAGCAAGCGCGATGAGACGCTCCTCCGCCGGATGATGAACCAATTGAATATCCGGAGCTGCCCCGTCTTCATCTGCACCCCGCATGCGCTCGACATCAGCGGCAAGGAGCCTGATCCCGAGTATGACACGATCCTTCGAGTACTCAAGATCGATAACCAGATGGTCCGGGATCAACTTATCATCAACCACATGATTGAGCAGATCATCCTGATCCCTGAGCGTGTGAGGGCCCAGCAGGTCATGTTTGACGGCGCTCCGCCACGGAACGTCAAGGCTTGCCTAGCATTCCACGACCGCAAGCGTGGTGAAGGTCTCAGACTGGCCATGAACAACGGAAACATCTCTACCAGCCCCATCCAACCGAATCCGAACCTCAAACTTCGGATGAAGACAGACTCGGATTCCCAGATCGCGCTTCTGCGGGATTCTTTACAGCAGATTTCTGCCGAATACCAGGGGTTGAATGCTGAGAGACGCCGCCTTCAACAAGAATGCCAGCGCTGCCAAAAGACAGTGGCGCAGCTGAAGAAGGATCGAAATACCCTGGAACACAAGCTACGAACGGCGCGCAACGGGGTTGACGAGATTCAGGCGGAGCTTGACAGATTCGAGAGCAGCGACTATGGCAAACTGGAAGGTCTCAAGAAGAACCTCGAGGAACTGAAGGATGAGCTGAATCACCACGGGATTCAGTATGGCATGCTGAGCGCAAAGAAGCAAGACAAAAACGCAGAGGTGGAAGAGGCTCGCGAAAAGGTCAAGGAGCAAAAGCAAGAGATGAAGGACTATGAGCAACGCCTCGGCAAGGCCGAGTCCAAACTTAAGCAAGTCCGGGAGTTGCGCCACATTTGCCTGATCGAGAAGAACGACATCATTGCGAGGATGGAGGAATACGCCGGGCAGAAGGAGAAGGCAGAGAGGAGACGGGCGAGGCAGCAAGACTATATCAAGGACGTCATAGCGCAAGCCGAGACCGTGAGCAAGGAGCGCGCGTACATCCCTGAGATTGAGACGTACGAAAGCCTTAAAAAGCAGTACGACACCCTCCGAGCGCGACTTGACAACGTCGAGAAGAACCGGGGAATGTCCGACCAGCAGGTCCACGATCACTTCAAGGAGGTGCGGGAAATGTACACGCAGGTCATCGACGATCTCGAGTCCATCACCACCGTGAACAAGCGCCTCCGGGATTCCCTCGCCGTACGCCTCGAGAAGTGGCGCAAGTTCCAGCGTTACATCTCTTCGCAGTCCCGCGCAAATTTCATCTATTTGCTCAGCGAGCGCGGCTTCCGTGGCAAGCTGATTCTTGATCACGAGCGTAAGTCACTGGACCTGCAGGTTGAGCCCGACAAGACGGAGAAGAGAGCCGCCGGGCGCAGCACCAAGACGCTCTCTGGCGGCGAGAAGTCGTTCTCGTCCATCTGTCTGCTGCTCGCCATCTGGGAGGCTATGGGTTCGCCCCTGCGCTGTCTTGACGAGTTTGACGTCTTCATGGACAACGTCAACCGCGCTATCAGCACGAATATGCTGGTGAGTTTCTGAAGAAAAGGTGATACGCGGTCTGAAAACGAATATTGCTGACAGGGTGGATTACCAGATTACTGCCGCGCGCCGTTCGGTGAATCGCCAATACATCTTCATCACGCCCAACGCGATCGAGGGTCGCACGACTCTGGACAAGGATGTCAAGATTATCCGGTAAGTTGTCCTCGGCCTGAGATGTATGAATGCTCTAACTGATGCATGACCAGCCTGACCGATCCTCGACAACGGACGCTCGCTGACCACTGATCCTCGACATTTGTAATTCTGCACATCTTGTCATGGTCTTGTTCTGCCTACCTGTACTGCGAGCGGTGTGGCAACCTGTAATGTTTTAGGGATCTAGGTTTGGGTGCCTTCTGGACCGGCTGGTAGGCGTTGAAGGGGGGGAGAAAGGCGTCTTGCTGGGTTTGCAGGGACTGTGCTCCCATGGCTCATACGATAGACGGCAGTTGATGGAGCATGTCCATATATCTAGCGAAACCTGTCCGCCTTGGACAGCATGATTATAGTGCTAATTGTACAGAGATTCTTTCTCTATCCAAATCCTACACGGCATAGCTACAGTATGATGGACAGATATTGCCCAATATATCCCAACATCGCGACTGCTTGTCCGCCGTTTGCGTGTCCCTACCGGACCCTATATTCTTAACCCCTTACTCCGCAACACATTCACCGCCGCCCCGGCGTTGAACCCAATCCACTCCCCAACCGAACGCACCGCGCCACCCGCTTGAGCCGCCTCGTCCAGTCGCCGCCGCAGGAAAGCGCGCGTCTCGCGGAAACCGGGGGACTGATCGGTGGTCTGGAACAGCTCGGCTGCGGCGTAGATGGCCGACAGCGACGCTCGCTTCGTGTACCACGAGGGGTCGACCGACACGTCACCGGCCAGGTAGAGGATCTCGTCGGCTAGCGAGGCCAGTTCGGCCAGTGAAGCGGGGATGTAGCTAGGCTGTGCCATGATTGCGAGCGCCTGGGATGACGAAATCCAGTTAGCCATTCCATCCAAATCACTCATCTTACGTATGTTCCTAACAAAAAGAGAAAACCTTGGGCGGTTGAGAAAAGGATGAGGTGAGAAGAGAATAAAACCATACCTCCTGCCACCGCCTAACCACACCCGCCGTCTCGTTTCCCAGCAACCGCGCCCACGCAAGCGCTTCGACTTTGTCCTCCACTCTCATCCTTTCACCTCCACCACTCCCGAGAATTTCAACCAGCTTCCCCTTGAGCAACGTCCGCTGCACATGCAGGTGCCATCGGATTAGGCTGAAGCTACCGTCGGGCAGGATCGACGGGCTGATGTAGAGCAGGCCCGCGTCGCGCGCCCCAAGGGCTAGGGCCTCGGGCGTAAAACCGTGCGAGGGGACGTGTGCGTAGGCAGTAGAGAGGAGGGAGGCTTCGGCTGGGGTGAAGGGCCCTGGTGGGGGCGGGTGGTCGTAGGAGTGGTATGTTCGGGCCGATCGGGCGATGGGAGAAGGCTGGATTGGGAGGCGGAGTCGTTGAGTGGTGACACAATTGTTGGATTGGGAGGTAGAAGAGGTTATGGTCCGAACTGTGCCGGTCGAGGGGCTGTACATCGGGGAGCTTGCTGTCGCCCTCTTAGGGAGGTTTATTGGCCGGGAATGGCGCAGGAGCATTCGCCGGGTTGCCGCGGCGCCGGCGGAACAGGATATAGGCCGAGTGACCATGCTCGTTTTTGCCTTCAAAGAGCCTTGTGACGCTAACTCGGAATTGGTTTCTTGTGAATGTGACCTGAGGTAGTAGGCCACCAACTTCAGTGTTGTCGTTCGATCGCACTGCAGGGAAGTCGGGAGGTTCCCGACTCATCTTGGTGAAGCTAAGATATAGTGGAGCTCGGCATGGGGCGGCCCGTAGTGTACATCAAGATTACCTTATATTAATCGGAACTCACTGGGAGCGACCGAAAGCTCCATGTCTTATTCACTTCTTGTAAGTGTATTGAGTTCGAACCAGTGTTGCTCTAGTATCTGTGACAAATAGGGGCAAGGTCACAGTCGATGGCTCTCAAGGTTCTCGCCAACTCTGGTCCAGAAGTGCTCCTGGAAAGACTCTGAGAAACCTGTACACCAGTTTGACTATGTACCTTAGCGATGCTAGGTACTGTACACAACAGGTCTACGGATGTACTATGTACTGAGTAACTAATCTAGTCGACGTTTCCACGTTCAAGACAAAACCTAGTCAAGCCTGGACAGCGACGGCATGATAGTCGAACGATGGGATGTCCGGGCGAATTTGCCGATCAATCGATGCTCGCAGCTGCGTTAAAGGTATTGATACCGAGCATGACTCTCACACTCCATTCACCATAATCATGGCGGAGGGAGCCTTCCCCCAACATAACGGAACCCCACTTCAAAGCCTTCAGCCAGCCATGATCATGCCCCGCATTGGAGAGTGTCCAGCCCATCCATAGCACGGCTTGATCTTCACAGGACAGGTTCATCACTTCGAGACGGTCCAAGCCTCTATTGGTCCCGGGTGTGTTCTTCTCAAAGCAGCAGCTAGTGTGAGGATATCCCCTGATGAATGCGCATGTGGTGGGCGGCGAGGTCCAACCTGGCCCTTCACAAACAGAATCCCAGTAGGTCCCAGGGCCTCGAGGCTCCTCTTTTTGATGAGTCGATTTGCGGCGTTGAAAGCTCACCAGAGCGAGGCTCCAAGTTCATGACGCAGCCGCCGTCACTGCATGAGCCGTTGTATTAGCGACTTCCATCCTGCATTGACCGGTCTCCTGCTTTGCTCTGGTTGGCCTGCTGGCAATCGCGACAAACCAACTGTCCGGCTCCGTTCCTCTAATGGTTGACAATTGCATTCGTTGTCCCTGCTGCCCAAGGCAGAAACATCGTGCCGGCGTTCCTTTACCTCCTTTGTCCCCCACATTGGTACTCCTTGTCACGGCGGTACATGTTCCTGAATGGCCAACTTACTTAAGGACCCTCGTTATCTTGCCTGCAAGCGGCATTGAATTCTCTTCATATACATCGATGGCTGTGGGCTAAAAAGACGTGAGGAGAACCGGATTGGCCCATGTCAAGTCGGCCCGCTCTGTCGTGTTACACTCGATGGGAGGCACGCACCAACCTGGAAGCTGATCGATCAATAGGCAGAGACAGGCCAATGTTCGTCCCTGCTGTTGTAACATGGCTTTTCCAACCGAAAGAGGGAATGTGGAAAACAGAAGACAGAAGAGACAGGACTCGGTGGAAAAATGTATCTCAACCAGCAATACAAACGAAAATCGATGTTGCGATGAGGCACGCCGTCAAGGACATGGAGCGAGGTAATCTGCGAACCCACCCGAGTAGCCCAATAGGGCTGCCATTGACCTTTGAGCTTCTGGATCACAAACTCCACAGTGGACCCTTCTGTATCCTGCTGCAGCATATGAAGTACAAGTATTTTGCAATTTTGGTAATGTTGTAAGTGGTACTGTTGGTGTCCGTTTCATCCACCGAGGTGTGTGGTCTGTGCTTTCAGTCACTGAGACCGGTTCCTTCCGCTGGACTTCTGGCCAGCACGAAATTTTTTTTCGCCAAAATGTGCCTGTGAGTTCCCCGTTGCTCCAGCCCACTCTTCCTGTGCTTCCCGCCCGCACCGCAGCGCGCACAACCCAAACCTCATCCTCAATCCCGCGGTATCATCCGCGGCCTCCACGCCTCCGCCAAGGGACTCCACAGAACCTCACATGTTGGCGGCGCTTGTGCTGGGCCACTCACCGACGTGCGTTTCCCTGTCGTCCGCCTTTTCACCCTTGCTCAAGTCCCTAGGTGACTGCGTTTCCAAACTGGTATGGTATCGGACCTCTTTTTCGGTGGTCAGACGAAGCGGCACGAGAATTTCAGGAACTGACTCTGGGCAACGCCTCCTCCAGCTGCACCTCGACTCGACCTTCTCTGGCCGCGTCGCCTGAGCAGCAGCCTTCCCACCTGAGGTTCCACTGCCTGCCCTTGTTTCGGTCTTGCAGCGCGCCTCCAACCTTCTAGGTTCGATTCGGACAGACACACGCCTGCCCGACCTGGCCTGAGGCTGATCGAGATCCCAGATTCCCTGGATTCTTTTCTCGACCGATTTCCCGGTCCTTTGTGCCAGCTTTCAATCTTGGCTTCACCTGCTTGCGACACCCCCCACCAACCCAACCCAGGCGACATCCGACCGGGAACACCTGCAGTTAGACACCGCGTTCAGCACCCAATCGTCACGTCGACGATAATTTCCCTCTGTCGAGCGGCTAAGTTGCCAGAGAAAGATTTCGACTGACCTATAGCCATGGGTAAGTGCAGAATCGTGTTGCATTCTCCATGTCCAAGCACCCTCTACCTCGAGCCTCTCCCCCCCTCTCCAGTCTTCTGCGCGCCGACCAATCTCGGGATGTTTGTTATCGTGGACATCCTTCGAGTCTTTCAATGGTGTGTTACCACCGCTTGTAACCCCAAAAACCTCCCTAGTCGTCGTCCCTGACGATTCACACACGCTCAGCAAGTTGCACCCTTGACGGCCGAGGTGCTTCAGCTCGTCGTCAAGCCTCGTCCGGCTTCCCACACACGGCGCGGCTCGCTGCTGCAGTGCCTTGTGTCCCCTCCGACGTCCTACCGTACTACATGCGGCCTCCATGTACAGAAGTACCTTCACACAAACAGCCCCCCCTTCCCTCGGCCTTCCCTGCCCTGCATGTCTATCCCATCCTGATCCACCTTCGGATTTGTTCACAACTTCCCCCGCCGCGGCACCCCGAGTACTACTCCCTCAAATTGCCACTCAGCGCTTCACTCGCTCCCGCATTCCTCCTCCACCTCACAACCACTTACCCCAAGCTTCAACCGATTTTCTTCTTCCAACCGTCTTTTTAGTTGTTCTAACCGTTGATTATTTTGCAGCTGATTCCGGAGATAACTATCGCCCGGTAAGTTTTTTCTTTCTTTCAGTTCCCTCGTTGAATCCATTTAACTCGTGGTCAATTCGACCTCAACATGGAGCTCTCTCCCGATTCTCGACCTCTCTCATTCTCACGACGGGATGCTCCTGTCGATGTGGGCCGTGCTCAAAAGCCAAGGGCTGCATTGTTCGCTGGGGTTGGCCGGTATCCACATCCCCTCGATCTCATGGATCATCGATCGCCCCCGCCATAGGTGGCCTTGATCAACGAGCTGCAGGGCGCGACGGCATCGGCTTGGTCAATCCGGCGCATCATGTCTGTCCCTCGCGCGGAAGCAGCCGGATCCGTCCCCAGCCAACCTCTGATCCATGGCGCACTATGCAGCCAATTGCTGACGAACGGCAGCGTGAGAGGTCGCGTTCCCCTCGTAGAGGACGTTCAAGGAGCCCGAATACTCGCCGATCGTTTTCGCCCCGTGATCGATCGGATAGCCGGCAGCGGAGAAGAAGTCGGTCTCCCATGACTGGACAGGCCGCAGCTGCTGGAGGAACAAGCTCAGGATACAGCGGAGCTCCGCACCGGTCGTACGAGGATCGCACAGCCCACAGAGAACAAGCCATGAACAACATTCGCGAGACATCGCAGCAGGACCGCCGCGTCTACGTTGGCAACCTGTCCTACGACGTCAAGTGGCATCACCTCAAGGATTTTATGAGACAGGGTGGGTTCTGGGGCGACGGTCGGCTACAACACGGATCCAGAGGCTAACGCTCGCGGGGTTTCAGCTGGAGAGGTGCTTTACGCCGACGTGCTGCTTCTTCCCAATGGAATGTCGAAGGTGGGCGCCTATGAGTGATTTGGCTGGTTCTTTTGTGGTCCTTTCCTCTCGGTTTTTGATGGATTGTTGGATTGACGGGTTGGGACGTTGTCCGAGGTGAATTTAGGGATGCGGGTAAGTTCAGTCTTCGAGCTGCCGGATGATTACTATCAAGTTGCTAACCTTCTCTGTCTAGTATTGTGGAGTATGCCACGAGGGAGCAAGCTCAGCAAGCTGTAGCGACACTCAGCAACCAGAACTTGATGGGCAGACTCATCTACGTCCGAGAGGTGAGGCATTCGCCCGCGTATAATGCCATTTTTTGCATCGGTCGTATTGACTTCAAACCAGGATCGTGAAGCCGAGCCTCGCTTTGGTCCTCCGGGTGGTGGTGCTGGCCGCGGCGGATTTGCTGGTGGCATGGGCGGCCCGGGCTTTAATGCTGGCGGTGGCTTCAACCAAGGCATGGCTGGCGGCGGCGGCCGTCAGATTTACGTGTCGAATGTTCGTCACCTTCTGTGACTCGATGGTTACTGTACTAATCCTCTCCGATAGCTGCCCTTCAACGTCGGCTGGCAGGATCTGAAGGATCTTTTCCGACAGGCTGGTAAGCAAAGCCAACGGATCCGCTCTGACGTTCAACTGTAAATTGACTTCGCTTTTCTTTTACTTTGACAGCTCGCGTCGGTGGCGTCATCCGCGCCGATGTCCACCTCGGTCCTGACGGCCGACCCAAGGGGTCCGGCATCGTGGTTTTCGAGTCCCCTGAAGATGCGCGCAACGCTATCCAGCAGTTCAACGGCTACGACTGGCAGGGCCGCATGCTCGAGGTCCGTGAGGATCGCTTTGCTGGTCCTGCCATGGGCGCCGGGGGCTACGGCCGTGGCGGTTTTGCTGGCGGACGCGGTGCCTTTGGAGGCGGCTATGGCCGAGGTGGATTTGGCGGAGGTCGCGGCGGGTTCGGTGGCTACGGTGGTCGCGGCGGTTATGGAGGCGCTGGCGGTGGTCCCGCTGCCTACGATGCCGGCAACGCCTCGGTCCCCCCCAACCCCTTCACCGATAATGCTACCGCCGGTGTCGAGAAGTGCGACACGATCTATGTCCGCAATGTAAGTTCGACCACGGGTCTCGCTGAGCCTTCAGATTTAAATTGATTAACCGTTTCTCAGCTCCCCTGGTCGACCAGCAACGACGACCTGGTTGAGCTCTTCTCCACCATCGGCAAGGTTGAGCAAGCCGAGATTCAGTACGAGCCGAGCGGTCGGTCTCGCGGCAGCGGTGTGGTCCGCTTTGATAACGCAGACACTGCCGAGACAGCCATTGCCAAGTTCCAGGGCTACCAGTACGGTGGTCGTCCTCTCGGCCTGAGCTACGTCAAGTACATCACCCCTGGCGGTGGTGACAGCATGGATACCGATCCCCACGGCGGCCTCACTCAGGATCAGATTATGTGAACAATGCTCTGGTTCATTGGGCGCGCAATGGGTTATGGATCGCTTCGGGTTTTGAGCAGCCCGGAATCAGTACGACTGGGGTTGCATGCGGTTACACTGCTTGATGCGGTTTCATCGTTCAACAAGCCACCGATTCGGAATTCCGGCGTTTTCGTACCTGGCGCGTCTCGGCATACTCGTCCTTTTTCTTTCCTTTCTCTCTGTCTCTTCGACGTTTATCTTGATTTGCTATCTATCGCCCCAGTACGGCGAAGCAGAGCAACGGCGCGACTCATTAGATGGGACGAGCTGCATGCTCAGCAGCCTGCGCCTCAGCGGCGCATGGTCTCGGGGAGAATGCTCTGGTTCGGAAGGATGAAGAGGGGGCCTACGAGGTCCGTTTCCTACTTTCGGCACTCGGCAACTCACGATCGTGAAAAGTTCTTCGATGGTTTCTCTCGTTGAGGCTCTGCGTTTCTGTCTCGGGACCCGCAGGAATTGGGAAAATCGGAGGGCTGTTTACCCTAGAATGTATTGTCGAATAAGCATCTGATTCTCCCGTTGATGGTGGCGTTCGATGGAAGGGCATCGAGCAGTCTGGTAGGCGTGTTTGCTTGCTGGTAAAGGTATTCGTCGTGCGAAGCGTTCTGGCCTGGGTGGCTGGCGGCAGACTTCTGGTGAGTTTACGTGCGGCGACGCGTAGGGATGCTTCGACTCTGTAAAGAATAGTGCTGGCGTGATATGGTATCGGCGTCTCGGTGCATTTTTTGAGCGGCAGGCTTGGTTGTGCGGACGTCTCGCATATATACCCCCAACGCTGTCAAGTTGAACAGCATGTTCGAGCAACCCAACTCTCCATCTCAACTCAGCTCGCCATTGCTGGCCAGCGGCGGATAACGAAGGAACTGACTTGGGTCCACGAACTGACTTGAAGCAACCAAAGAGGGAGATAGATACGATATTGCAAGATAGACAGCCATGTTGTCTTCTGTCCTAAAGAGTTGCTCATTGAACAGGAAGTTACCATTCGGAACCAAACATACTGTACTGCAGCGTTATGTAATTTACATAAAAACCAACGGATTCTTACAGATGTGGATACGGTAGGCTTTGTGGACGTCATCCTGCGTGTTGTGGATAGAATGGCCCGTGCATATGAAGCGAACCCAAACAAGGACAAGCGTCGTATTCTTCGCGTAATGAGTGCAGGTGCTTTACCAAGTCGACACCAACCTGAGCCCCTCGTGTGCAGGGCAGATTGAGAGGTAGGGCACATGCATGGCTCTAAAGTTGCGATTCCCAGCGGATGGCCGAGTTAGAAGACTTCCAGTCTCAGAGTTGAATCGCGACATATGTTCGATTGTGCCGTCGTCAACCGTGATGCCCGGGATTTCGCAATCTGGGTTCGTCTGAGAACATGGCCGACTCCAATGGTCCTTGGTCCGCTGAGAGCGAGCCGCAGTTCTGGGATGGTGAGTCTTTCGGAGAATCTGAAATTTCCAAATGGGTTGCAGCGAAACCTCTACTATGACATGAGTGCTGACAATGGGCCCCCTCACAGCCCTAAACGGGATCTTGACTTCGGCCTGTGCAACACCAGAGCAGCTCGACGAGACGTTGCGCTCATGGCTCGACCTAACTTCGGAAGCCCGGAACACATATCTCGACAGCGAAGACGATGTCGCCCACTGTTCCCAGATGCTCCTAGAGAGCCCGATATTCCGCAACTACGGCGACTACGTGCGGACACAGCTCATCTACAGCCTCCTGCAGGAGGACGACTTCGCGAAGCTCCATGTCTATGCCAACTTCCTCCTTCTCGACGGCCGGACCGAAGAGGATACGTTCCGGACCATGATCAACAAGGGCTGTTTTGTCCGGCTGCTCGAGCTCATCAAGGGCTGCGGGGGCAAGGATGCTCGCCTGCACCGGCTTCTGCTGCAGCTGATGTATGAGATGTCGCGCATCGAACACCTCCGCTCTGAGGACTTGCTGCAGGTCGATGATGGCTTCGTCATGTACCTGTTCCAACTCATCGAGGCACTGTCTGACGATGCCAGTGACCCCTACCACTACCCGGTGATACGAGTTTTGGTACGTTTCTTACCCGCCCTAGGGTCGCGCTCGGTGATGGCTAACTGCGCGAGCAGCTGGTCTTGAACGAACAGTACATGGTTGCATCTACTTCTGCAGCAGTGGATCCCAACTCTCCCACGGTCCTCGTGACAAACCGGGTGGTGAAGATTCTCAGTATCCACGGCCCGTCATTCCGGACCTTTGGCGAGAACATCATCCTGCTCCTCAACCGGGAAACGGAGACGTCACAGCAGCTCCTCATCCTCAAACTCCTGTACCTTCTATTCACCACCGCGGCGACTTACGAGTACTTTTACACCAACGATCTCCGGGTCCTCCTGGACGTCATCATCCGGAATCTGCTAGACCTTCCAGCCGAGGCCAACATGTTGAGACATACGTATCTGAGGGTACTGGCGCCTCTGTTGGCGCACACCCAGCTCAGCCAGCCGCCTCATTACAAGCGAGATCAGATTGTCAGCCTCCTCGAGATATTGCGCGGCAGTGGCGGCGCCCACTTCCTGCCCCCAGAGCCGACAACGCTGCGCCTAGTCGAGCGAGTCGCGAAGACGCCCTGGCTGGCCGCGGGCGAAGAAAAGGCCGAGTCTTCGCCAGACACGACAAGCCCTGTCGAGAGCTTGGTATACTCACAGACGGGCAGCTCCGTGAGCGTCGTGGCCAACGTGTCGGAGAAACCAGGCGTCAAGACGCCGAGCCTGAAGTCCAACCGGGGGGGCCTACGGGCCTCGATGACCAAAGACAGGGCGGCGGCTACCGCTACGGATGGCGGGAGCCCGCCCAGGCCACCAATATCGAGGACTCTGAGACCGAAGATGTCTCTGCCGGAAGTGCCCAAACACCGTCACGGGGTGCCTATTGTTGGCCACCCGTCGGTCAACATGACCAGTGGGGCCGCGCACGTTGATGGGAACGTGGTTCCGAAGAAACCGCCGCCGCCAAAGATTCCGCCACCGCGGAGGAAAGCTAGGCTGCTGGTTGCGACGGGTGGCAGTGATGCTCGGACTACGGTCGAGACACTGCCGGCGACCGAACCGGCACCGCATCTGGCTTGAACGGCCGCGAGTCATTCTTAGTCGGAGCTGCATCAGTTCTCTTTTCTTGTATTTGAGTATCTTGCGATCCTGGGTTCTTATAGGAACTCCGTGGGTGATCCGCAATGTCTACGGTTATCAACATAGTATTGATAGCGTCGGACAGCCTGGAACTACAGGCTGGGAGGGGTGGGGGCTTGGACTCAGAACCGGTGGCTCTAAAAGGGGCTTATGAATTCAGGCATGGGGCATGAAACGCACGGCATACAAGGAGTATGGCAGAACGGAGGCAATCCATAGCGTTTCAGTGTGGTTAGGTTAGGCCGGGGCCTCACTTACAGTAATTATTACTACGCATATACGAAATACTACTCCCCTGTGGAAAACTGTTTTACAGTATTTGACCCGTTTCCTCCTTGACCTCTCCGCTTGCTCGAGCCACCTTTTGCAGACACCCTGTTTTGAGTTCACTGGCGAGTTAGCGAGCAACCTTGAGGTACGGATATTCCGTACTGTCCATCTGGTCTTGCCCCCTGCCGGTCCCAGTCTTCCGGCAACCGGGGTGACCCACAAGCCGTCTTGGCACCGAAGCCTCTCCGCAACCCTTGCGCTTGCTAGAAGTGACCCACTTTCAGCCAGACCCCGGAGAACCGCGCCAATAAATTTTTGGACATGAGGCACCGCGACTCGGCCCAATTCACTACGTCCAACGACAGGCTAACTACACGCTCCGTATAAACAACCGATGCCACGGTGAAGCAATTGAACGGCGACATATTTTCTTGGACCGAAACTTGTATACACCTCGACACATTTCCCCACCCGCGCACTGTTCCGTAACTTCGAGCATTATAACTCGCCAGTCCGGCTTCGCCAACTAACCTCTCTCTCTCTCTTGGTTCCGCTTTCAAGGCCGAAAGTTTTGTTTCTTAGCCCGGCCATGGCGCAACCGGTGACCCAGATGGCCAAGAAGGTCATCAGGACGTTTCGAGAGCTGCACGGCGTCGTGATATCCGCGGGCTTGATGGACAAGACGGTCAAGGTACGGGTGGGCGGGCAAAAGTGGAATTCATTCCTGAAAAAGGTTCGTTATTTTCTCTCTCTGTTTCTCTAACTCTACTACCTCCCTGCACTCTTGCCCCTCGACTCCCTTTCCTGTACCATATTTTAACCATATCTGACTGACTGGTTGACTTACACTGTTGAATCAGTTCTTCGACGACCCCAAAACGCACCTCGTCCACGACCCAAATAATTCGCTCCGCCTCGGCGACGTCGTCGCCATCACGCCTGGCTGGCGCACGTCCAAATCCAAACGGCACGTCGTCAAGCACATCATCGCGCCCGGGTCGGGTGTGCCCATCGAGGGTCGGGCGCCCGTGCCAACGGAGGAGGAGCGGCTTGCGCAGAAGGAGGCGCAGCGCATGGAAAAGATCGAGCGCAGGACTGCTAAGAAGATGATTACGGTCGTGGAGCAGCAGTTGGGGATAGCTGAGCAACTGCTCAAGAAGACGAGGAAGGAGTTTGCGCTGAGGGCGAGGTTGATGGGTGTTAATATTGGGGGGAATGGTGGTGGTGGTGGTGGTGAGGAAGGGAAAAAACAAGCTGGGGATGTGGCGCCACAATGAGAAGGGGCTTGGTTTGGTGTGGGAGTGGGTGGATGGCGGAGGGATGCTGGAAGCGCAGATGGGTAGATGTTTCGGTGCGTTGGCGTCCCTTCTGGAGAGAGATCAAAGCCACGCAGTGTAAAGATTCGAATGAAGGAGGACAACAACTCCTTTGTATCTGTACAATTACAACAGGCCATATAAGCATGCAGGGTCAAGCTTGCCGGGCGACTAGAGAAAAACATGGATTCAAGGTGCTTTGGGGTAAAACAATGAAGCCGGAAAGACCAATCCTCGTCTCTCCCCATCTTGGGTTCAGGAGAACGGGAACGGCAATGGTAAGGAATTGTTGACAAAGGGGCCTTGTGCAACGGCTATGAGCTTTGTTTCTGGGAAGTAATCCGAAGGTGGCTCTAACTTCATGCTTGGATTCTAAACAGAAAGTAATCCCCCCTAACTAAACCCCCCCTAACTAAAACCCCCCTAACTAAAACCCCCCTAACTAAACCCCCCCTAGCCAAACCCCCCCTTGCTAAACCCCCCTAACTACACCCCCACTAACTTGAACCCCCCCTAACTAAACTGACCATGCACAGCTATCCACCTCGTTCCCCAAATTCCTTTGCCCAATCTTCATATTGCTTGAGTCCTGCTTTGCTGACACTAGGCCGGATGGTAGTTAAGCTTGCAACAAAGTCGGACAGTTCAATCGGTCGTATCTCATCCATAGTCATATGTAGTAGGGCCTCCCCCAAAGACCGCAGCGGCCCCATCGCTGCGTCTTTGGCTAGCGCTGTGATGTCTGAGCCAGAAAACCCTGCAACCTATGTCAGATGGAAAAGCGGTTGAGAATAGGGAGAAAGAGCAACCCACTAACCTTCAGTCATACCGACGAGGGTGTCAATGTCGGCATCGCTCAGGGTATGCTTCTGCTGTTGGAGCAGCGTCCTGAGCTGCACCGCCCTCGTCTCGGCCTCGGGCAGTGGTATATACTGGCGTCTCACAAACCTCCTCCTCGCGGCCTCGTCAATCGCCCACGGCAAGTTCGTAGCGGCGAGCACGAGCACCCTATTCGCGTCTCCGCCGCGCTCCTTGTTGTCCTTCTCCGCCACCATCACCTCTCTGCCCGCGGCCGCCCGCTGCAGGTCGCTCCATTGGATGAGGAACTCGGTCTTGATCCGCCGCGTAGCCTCGTGCTCTCCCGTGCCCGACCGCTGCGAAAGCAGCGAGTCGATCTCGTCGACAAAGATGATGCTCGGCGCGAGCACCTTCGCCAGGGCGAACAGCGCACGGACAAGCTTCTCGGACTCGCCCAGGTACTTGCTGGTGAGGCTGCTGGCCGAGATGGAGAAGAAGGTCGACTTGGACTCGGTCGCGACGGCGCGCGCCAGCATCGTCTTACCCGTGCCCGGGGGGCCGAAGAGGAGCATTCCCCGTGCGGGTTCGCGTAGCCCCATGAAGAGATCGGGGCGAAGGAACGGGTAGATGACCGTCTCCCGCAGGGCGTTCTTGGCTATGTCAAGTCCGGCAATGTCTATCCAGTGGACCTCGTCACCTTGGACCACGATTTCGTTGAGGATCTGCTTCGCTGCCTGTTGGTCGACCCCGAAAGGGAGCCTTTTCAGGACTGCTGCCTTGCGCCGATTCCACGAATTTGCGGCTTTGGTCTGCTCGCCTTCTGTTGAGCTGTCGGAGAGGTCGGCTAGGGATTCGGCGATGAGGGACGCCTCATTTTGTCGGTTGCTGCTGCGGTTGAGCCGTGACGGTCTCGCTAAAGTGTCAAATGATGATGATGATGAATGGTCAGAGGTTGGCGGAGAAGAAGCCAACCCAGGCCGCGTATCTTTATTCCTGCTTCCCATTTGTGATGTGTTGATGCTTTTGCTGGATGGCGTGCGGGTAGCCCTAGGCTTGCTCGCAGAGAATATCTTGGATGCTGATCTCCGCGAAATCATGACAGAATCCGCCGAGGTTTTGAGATCAAAAGGCACGTTTCTGGGCACTTCAGACAAGCCCACCTCTGCATGTGAACACTCCTTTGACCTCCTCGATTGCGGTGTCTGCGGAGGTGCGGTTCTCTGGCGAAGTACCGGATCGCGGATGGGTGACTGACGCTCATGGTTGTCTTTCAGCGTGAGCGAGTTGAGAGCGCTTGATGCCGCGCTGACGGATATCGGGGAAGGCCGGGTGAGAGGGTAGGCATCTGCCTGTCGCGAGTCTGTCATGTCAGCACTTGCCCGCCTATCGGACAGCTTCACCGGGTTCGGGGTTCGAGAAGGGGTGAGCCTCCGGGAATTGCTGTCCCATGTCTTGTACAGTGATTCTAGGCTTTTGCGCGGCTCCTCGGACGGAGTCGGCGGATTTGAGAATGACCGTGGCAGCTCTTGACTGTTCTCTGAAGGTTGGTCTGCCGTCCCTCGTTGTCCTAGTAAGCCCCATGCCAGTGCAGCCGCTTTACTGGCCCCGGGGCCATCAGCTGGTTTCTGGCTTGGCCGGCGAAGCGTTGTTTTGATAAGTTTTTCCCCTATTCGGCTTGAGCGCAAGGTGGTGCGCATTGTATGCCGCTCTGGACTCGATCCTCTCGACGTCCGCTTCTCCGGAGAGAGTCGTAACGATGTCGAAGTGAGAGGTTTCCGCGATGGTAAAGGCGGTGCAACGTCATCCGACTGTGGCCCGTTCTCCCCCACAGCAGCCTTCTGTATGAACGAAGTCTTGGAATCGGTCGACCTTCGTTCGAGCGTGTCGGGTCTTGCCAGTTCTGTGTATGTGACAGCGGGAATGGTTCCATTGCCTATCCATCCCTGCTCTTTCTGTTTGGGAGTTGCCATATTTCGTGGCTCGGGCGGCGACCTGTTCGTTTGACCGTCGGACGAAGATTGGCCATCCTCCGAGGGGTTTCTCTGGGAGGTTTCTTGGCGCGAGATACGGAGAGCTTCGAGGAGGTCGATTCGTTCCTTGCACTGCAGCTCCAGTTGGCGGATGCTCTCGCATAGAGCTATCTCTGTCTCGGAGCGGACGTTGAATGGGAGGGTCCTGTTGGCATAATGGTCGTAGATCTGCTCCAGCGCCTGTCTCCAGCATCGCATAGCCTCGCCTTCGTTGCCCTGCTCATTGCGAATCAGTCGGGTTTCTGGCAATAGCGAGAGGGGTCGGGATGGCACAAGGAGCCTGCCTACCTGACTCTCATAGTAGACGGCAGTGGAGCAAGTCAGGTAGGTCTCATCGTATGTTTTTTGTAGAGTGGACAGACTCGTCGCTGTCCTGTTACCAAACATGGCTGTTCTTTGAACATGGACATTCCGGCGTGGTGTTGAAACTGCCCACCAGCGGGTCCAATCAAGTAGAATGTCGGACAGCGAAAAGTTGCGAACCCAAGTTTACGGTACTACTGCATGCGCAAATTCATGTGATCACAGTACCTCGTGGACCGCTGGTCAAGTGTTAGTCGTGAAGTCCAGCCCACGGCTGCCATGCACTCGGTCAAGGCGTGGGGAAAACGCATACTGCGGTATCTGTATCGGTACTCCGGTACGGAGGACATTGACGCCCGCGGCTAAGCTTCATGAAGTGGGGTCCTGACGTTGCAATAAATGCCCCGGGTCCCGCACATCACTTTCAAGCCTTGCGCAAGAGCTGACATGTCAGCATGTGACAGAACATGTAATTACCTCGTCCAGAATCTGAGACAGAAATGCTGTGATAAACAATAGGTTGATAGTCCCCTCGAAGAGCGCTAGACTCTTCTACCTTCCAGATTTTTGTTATCCAATACCATATCGCTATTACTATGACAATAGCACACGGATCTCGCCCGACGTTCGAGGAAACAGGGCTCGGAGACTCTGGAACTCGTCCGATTCGCCATGTTGCTGCTCGGCCATCTCGTCGGCCAGCATCAGCATCTCCTCGACATGCTCAAAATCGATGCAGAACTTCTTGGCCGCTTCCTCCGTAATTTCCTGCACCAGCTTGGAGTCCTGCAGATTCTTCAACTTCTCCACCGCATCCATCAGCGCCGATGGCAGGAACTCATCCAGCCGCTGGCTGGCCTGCATCAGGGCAGGGGCTTGGACCGCCTCCAGCGACGAGACATTGTTTACATCCTCCTGGCTATCTCCCAGCGGCTGCAGCGATGCTATCAGCTCATCCAAGCCCGACTCGGTACGGAAGAAGCAGTATTGTGTCTCAACCAGACGCGCCTTCTCCTCGTCGATTTGTGCCTGGAGCTGGGCCGCCCGTCGCTGCGTAAAATCGAATGGAGAGAGGCTGGTCCGGGCAGTGAGCAGGCAGTTGACGAGAAAGACGGATTTTGACGGGGCGCGGAGCGACTCGGCCATGTTGGCCGCTCCGGATATGAAGGGGTCGAAGGCCTCGACTAGCACAGACGCAAACTCCTCTTCTCGGTCGCCCGACGAGGTAAATGACGTTTCGTAGGTCCTCATTATGGCAGTCAGTTGTCCCAGGGCATCGACCAAGAACTCGGGAGGGCGCAGGTCGGCAGGAGTGTGTTGGAAGTCGCCCTGAACCGCCGCGACGTGGTCGCGAGCCAGTGACCGGAACTGCCGTAATGCTTCGGATTCGACCGCCTCCAACGACTCCACGAGGGCCGAGCCGGGGCTGAGAAGCCTCGAAAAGGTGCTCTTGTAGAAACTGAGTAGGTTGGCAAGCTTGTATGCCAATATCGTGTCTTCGTTGGTCTGTATGACCTGCTCAACCCGCTGGCGCAGAATGCGACCTGCGCCAGCCATGTCGCGGTCTACAAGCTCGTTCAGAGTCTTCACGGCGTCGAAGTCGTCCGTCTCTTCGCCATATTCGGCAACAAGCCGCCACACCTCATTCTCCCGACCAGCCTGGATTCCCTTGGCAATCTCATTTCCCTCGCCGATGAACAAGCCTTCCAAGGCCTCCCGCTCGCCCACGGCGGCCGAGTGTGTCCAAGCCAGCATGTCTCCAACATACCTTAGAGGGTCATGGGCAACGAGTTCGATGGGCTTGATAGACGGGTCCTCCAATCCGGAGGACGAGGTTCCCGTCAATGCGGTGTAGAACGAGTTGGACAAAACATGCTCCCGCGCTTCGGCGAAGAAGTCGAGGCAGTTCTGGAACAGGCCGGGCCGCTCGGCCAACACACGGAGAGCGCGGCGGATGGGTGAGCCAATTTGTGGATTCTCCAGGTTGAGTGTCTTAAACTCCCTTTGAACCCACTTGTAGAGCTTCTGAAAGCCCATGTTGAGATTCTTGTTCGTCTGCTCCATAATTTCAAAGCCCAGCGTCTGATTCTCAAATCCGAGGAGGATTTCACAATCGATACTGATCCTCTTTACCTTGGTGAGAGTGCTGAAGAAGAGATCGTCGACGGGCTCCGAGGTCAGCGTCAGTGCCGCTGTCTCGTCCTCGGAGAGCACAAATTTGTCGTTGAAGGCGTTAAGGAGGGCTTGCCTCTGCTCAACCTGTTGTCGTTGGCGCATGAGCCTGGACGCCTCTGTCAGTGCCAAAGAAGTCGCCTCGTGGGCTGCGCCGATCTGCGTCTTCATCTTGTTGAAGCTCTCATTCAGCCGACTAATCGTGGCGCCGATGCGCCGGAGTTGCTGAGCCATGTCAGTCCAAATGTGGGCTCAGCGGGACATGGGGCGAGGCTAGTAAGTGAGTCTCCCCTCATACCTCGGCAACCTTGGCAAATTCGTCGATGATTTCCCCATTGCTGTCAATGACTTGTTTCTGGGAATCTAATCGCAGTTGGCGTCGCGTCTCGGGCGTGTTCAGAACGCCCCGCTCATCTAGAAGGGCAAGAGCTTCTCGGAATTCCGTGTCGGCATAGGACGACGAGAGAACAGTCGTGAGCTTGGACGAAAGGGGCTTTGCAGCCTTCGACGACAGAGACGGCGAGGCTGTTGTGCCCTGCGGCGAGAGCGGTCTGGAACTTGAGGAACTCATCCTGTGATATGCTGGATACCGAAAGATCAACTCTCGTCAACCAGCAAATTTTTTTGTTGGCATGCTGGGTTGACTTGTTTCCCTCGACTGGAAAGCATGCGTGTTTTACTTTCGAGACGGTTGAATTGTGTGTTCATTTGGCCGTTGAGGTTCGTAAATGTAAAATTACCTTACGTGATGTTACGTGGAGAACTGTCTGCATCCGTCCCATCACAGCCTTCCCAAACCAGCTAATGTGACGCCCCCGGCCGCGCCTGCTCGTCATTCTGGCACTGTCAGCTGGACCGAGCATCAAGCCGTGCTCCAACAAGGCAGCCAGATGCCGGCATATGTATTCAACAGCCAGCCTCACAGTGTCTTGGAATGCACCATCCACATAGCAAACGGCCTCCCTGAGGGCGGCACCTCCTGACCGGCTGTCACAGTCACCCTAACACGGCGAGCTCGTGACATTTGAGAACTGGTTTTCAAAGATAGCCTCAGGTACTCCAGGTAGTTCTTTATCGGATACCTAGCCGTCCGTCCCACTTTCCTTGCTGCCCCGTTACTCCGTTACAGGATTCCTCCATTCTCCTCAAACGACACCGGGCAGTTTTGGATTGTTAAGTGGCTGACTATGCTTCAGCCCTAGACGCGATTCTCTTCCTCCTTCAAACTACCTTCGATGCCACCGAATATTTCTAACGCAGCCGCGCTTTGAGGCCAGCTCAACATGGCGTCTAACGTCTTCTCGAGGCTTGTCCCAACGCCCAAGCGGCGCTCGTTTTACGAAGAACTCCGACGCCGACAAGACGATACCGAGGATCAGGCCGGTCTATTGGACGAGGAGAACTTGAACCATGACTTCCATAACTACGATCTAGGGCATGCTGAAGGCCTTGGTGTTGGAGATAGCCGCACCACTGTTGGCGATGTGCCCGGCCCGGCCTCAAGAGGCCGTGGGCACCCCTCTGGTTGGCGCAACAAGGACCACCGGTCTACTTGGGCATCGCAAGAAGACGACGGGGACAATGATGTTCCCGCGTCACTGCTGGTGGAACGCCACGATCGAGACACAGAGGTGCCTGCCGGGCGGTCGAGGAGGAGCAAGAGAGGGCACCAAACCGCTGCGATTCCAGGATCATCTAGGACTCGTCAACAATGGGAGACGACGCAGGCGGAGCAGCGGCTGCACAACCACGAAGCTTCTGGGCAACCCTACGGGGGCCTCCCAAACTCACTCTTCGCTGGCATGGTGTTGGGCAACGCCAAGAAGAAGGCGGAATGGAGATGGGCTAATATCTTGAATCTCGACAACTTCATGAAGGACGTCTACGACTACTATCTCGGCAATGGCATGTGGTGCATTCTGGTGGAGAGAGCCCTGCACCTAGTGTAAGTGAGCGGCCGTTGGTGAGCCATTCACAGCAATACGCATGCTGACGGGACACAGCAACGTGGCGTTCGTGGCCGTTCTTTTGACCTTTCTCTCCCAGTGCATTGACTACGGCAAGCTTCGCGGCAGCCAGAAGCTTTCGCAGATCCTGGTTTCCCAGTGCACCAAGAACATGTCTGGCCTGTGGAACTTTGGGTTGTGGATGTTTTCTTTTTACTTTATCTGGAAGTTGGTCCAGTATCTCCTGGATATCAGGCGGCTCTTGAACATTCGCGACTTCTACCTTTACCTACTTGACATCCCAGACGAGGACATGCAGACCATCACCTGGCAGGAGGTAGTCGCTCGCATCATGACACTCCGCGACATCAACCCAAAAACGGCATCCGCCTTGACCCAGACACAGCGACGCTGGGTTGGCGGACAGTCTAAGGAGAGGCTTGACGCATCCGACATTGCCAATCGGCTCATGAGGCGAGAGAACTACCTGATTGCGCTGGTCAACAAGGATATCTTGAATCTGACCATCCCGCTGCCCTTCTTGCGCAATCGCCAACTCTTCTCCCGGACCATGGAGTGGATCCTGATGTTCAGCATCCTCGACTTTGTCTTTGACGAGAGCGGCCAGGTCAATCAGGAATTTCTTAAACCAGGACGCCGGGGTGAACTCGGTCTGAAGCTTCGTGGGAGATTCATCTTTGCTGGTCTCATGGTTCTTATCCTCTCACCCTTCCTGGCTGGGTACCTTCTTGTCGTCTATTTTCTCATGTACTATCATGTAAGCCGGAGAAGCCATGCCGTATCTGGAGGGAAACGCGTTTGATTTGCTAACACTTGTGCCAGGAAATACAAAGAAACCCCTCAGTTCTGTCGTCACGGACCTACACGCCGCTGGCCGAATGGAAATTCCGAGAATTCAACGAGCTGCCCCATCTCTTTCGGAAGCGGCTCGACATGTCTCATCCATTTGCAAGCCACTACATCGACCAGTTCCCTAAGGCCAAGATGGAGATGCTTGCGCGGACCGTGGCGTTTATCTCCGGCGCCCTTGCCACGGTGCTTGCGATTGCGTCAGTGGCCGACCCTGAGTTGTTCCTGGGTTTTGAGATCACCCCTGACCGGACCGTTCTCTTCTACACAGCCGTTTTTGGAAGCGTGTGGGCGTTCGCCCGGGGGAGCATATCGGAGGAGAATTCGGTGTTCGACCCCGAGTATGCCATGCGCAACGTCATTCAATACACGCATTACGAGCCGGATCACTGGGAAGGCAGGCTACACAGCGCCGACATCAAGCAGGAGTTCTCGGCCCTGTACAAGGTCAAGGTGGCCATTTTCATCGAGGAAATCTTGAGCATCCTGACCACACCCTTCGTTCTGTTCTCGAGTCTTCCAAAGTGCAGCGATCAGATTATCGACTTCTTCCGCGAATTCACCGTCCACGTTGACGGGCTCGGCTACGTCTGCACGTTTGCCGAGTTCGATTTCAAGAAGGGCATCGGCAAGGGCAACGCCAATGCGGATGCGGGGGACGTTCGAAAAGATTACTACTCGACCAAGCACGGGAAGATGGAGGCGTCGTACTATGGATTCATGGGCAACTACGGCAATTTTGCCCTCAACCCAAGGACGGGCGCGGCGTCGCATCTCCCGCCAGGGACACGGAATCAGTTCCATCCGCCGCCAGCATGGCCCAGCATAAACTCGCCTCCAACGGCAACCGATTTCCAAAGCTCGAGAATGGATCGTGAGCGAACGAGGGGCGGCGTGTCGGCCAAGGGCCCGCGGCACAGCGCTGCATTGGCTCAGTCAGGGCCCATGGCTTCTATCCTGCTTGATCCGCATCATCAACCGCCGAGTACTGCCCTTCACCCCAATAGGAGTATACACGCGGCCCGGCACCCACGCGGTGGTCATCACCAACAAGGGGTCATCGAAGAGGCCCTGGAGGACGACGATTGCGAGATGAGCGACGCTGCGAGGCCGCAGAACGATGAGGAGGAGGCCTTTGAGAATGGAGGCTGGCTTGAAGAGTCGGCGTGGCAGGCATCGCCCACCAGGACAATAAGTAGAGGGAACAGTGCAGCAGAGGACCGTGGACCGCCCGAGGCTGGGGTCGTGCATATGATATATCAGTTCAATCAGGCGCAACTGAATCGTAGGCCGGGCGGTGTGAGATGAAGTTGATAAGCGCGCTGGGGTGTGTCCCAGACGGGACGAGCGGATTGAATTGACATCCAAACATGCATTTTACACATATTCCATGCAGCGCTGGTCACAAGTGGAAGAAGAGAAGCAAGAGTAGTGATTTGCTGCCGCATGTTTTATTGCTGCTCCTGCAGACTGGTTCATGGGTGTGAGACAAAACATGCAACAATCCGCCTCTGCCAAAAAGCATGTGTCATACTCCGAACAACGATCTGATAAACTCTCACGCTCACGCTGGTCCCGATCCTGCCTCGGAGAAACGGTTGGGTGGCCTTTTTCGGCGCCGGCGGAGATCCCACCGCGGATCTGATAAGCCAGAGCTGCAAGGATGTTTGTGCGAGTGCGAGAGCAGGCCGTGTCATTCATTGGCAGCAATGAATTGGATCAGTCTGGGACATCTCCGAGCAGCGGCGGGAGCCCGCTAAAAGCCCGCTAAATACCTGGGCAGCGGGGCCAGCCTTGAATTCTTGCCGCCCCCCACCCCTGCCTGCCCGACTTTGTGGATAGTCGAAGGTGGTGAATTCCCCGACCTCCGGCTGGGCCAGCATGACGGCCGAGGCGGTCCCATTTTTTTCTGGCCAGCGTCAAACAAGCCGACAACGGTCATCAAAAAAATTCGGGGAACTGGCTGCGCATTTACCGCAGCTTCACCACCATCGTCATTACCCGCTGTCGTCAGACGAGGAGTCGACCTTGCGCCTTTTGGTTGTCAAGCGACGACAGGAGACACCCCATCAATTCCATCGAATCTGGGTCTAATACTTTGCTTGAATAGCTTCCAGCCCGCCCCACGACACATTCGCGGCAAGAACAGCGGGCTTGAGCTTTGTTTGGTAGCTTGCGGTGACGGCAATTCCAGATTTGAGCTTCATTCTCCATCGCGAGTCTTGGTGCTTCTGCTGTTGCGGCGCAGAAGCTTCACTGGGCGCTTGCCGATTACCCTACCAAACGACAAAGCACATTCTTCAACCTGGCTCTCGACGTCGGCGCGCCGGGAGCGGTGGCTTCCCCAATGGCTCAGCCAAATGCCGAGCCCGTGGAGGACTACGAGTACGTCGTTCGTCTTTGGACTGCCTACGGCTGGTCAACAACGACGGGCATAGTAGGAGGAGTATTGGTATTGGGGCGCTGACACGGCTGCAGTTATGAATCGCTCCCGCCCAACTTCTCGTTACTGCAGAACATGACTGCCGGCGCTTTCGCCGGTATTGCCGAGCACTGCGCAAGTAGGTCTTCTTCAATCTCAGCATTCAGGCTCCTCTCAAAGGGCCTTGTTTCTTTCTATGCCAGACGCTAACCAACTCGTAGTGTACCCTATCGATGCGATCAAGGTAAGCAAGCGCTACAGCTTCCTCAGCACATCAAACGCTCCCTTCCCAGTCAATTTGAAGACAGCGCAGCTGACTGGCCCGTCTGTGGCACGCAGACACGAATGCAAATAATCAACCCCACCTCCTCGACCGTCGGGAGTGGAGTGATCCAGGCCACGTACCGGATGGCGAGCACTGAGGGCATCTTGAGTCTCTGGCGTGGCATGTCCAGCGTGATCGTCGGGGCGGGTGAGTCCTATGCAACCGGGATCTTATGTCACTGGGAGAGGCGGTTCGAATAAGGACTGGGCGTGGACTGACGACGGGATGCTCCAGGCCCTGCGCACGCGGTCTACTTCGCGACCTACGAGGCGGTCAAGCACGTCATGGGCGGCAACCAAGCTGGTGTCCACCATCCCCTGGCTGCCGCAACGAGCGGAGCATGCGCGACAATCGCCAGCGATGCGCTGATGAACCCCTTTGACGGTACGTCTGTCGCTGCGGCGGTTTGCTTCCTGGGTAAAGCGCGTCGCTGATCTCTTTGCCCTGGACAGTCATCAAGCAAAGAATGCAAATTCAGAACTCGGCAAAGATGTACCGCTCCATGTTCGACTGCGCCAAATACGTGTACAGGAAAGAAGGGCTCGCGGCCTTCTACGTCTCGTACCCGACGACGCTCTCCATGACGGTCCCCTTCACCGCCCTCCAGTTCCTCGCCTACGAGTCCATCTCGACCTCAATGAACCCCACCAAGAAGTACGATCCCCTGACGCACTGTCTGGCGGGTGCGGTGGCGGGCGGTTTCGCTGCGGCGCTCACGACGCCCATGGACGTGATCAAGACCATGCTGCAAACCCGGGGCAGCGCGACGGACCCGGAGCTGAGGACGGTTAACGGATTCATGGCCGGCTGCCGGCTATTATACCAGAGGGAGGGCGCCCGCGGCTTCTTCAAGGGTGTGAAGCCGAGGGTGCTGACGACTATGCCAAGTACGGCTATTTGCTGGTCTGCCTATGAGGCGTCGAAGTGGGTTTTCCTCATCCTTGGGCCCCAGTATCAATCCGGGGAAGGTCCGAGTCGCTAACGATGGTTGTTTACAGGGCCTACTTCATCCACCACAACAACACCAATGCGTCATGATTCCCTGAAAAAGTAACGGCGCATTCAAAACAAAGGTTAGCCGCCCTTCTTAACACTCACCACTGCATTCAAAAAGACCGGTATTGACAGCTCCAGTCATCTTGCAACCAGGATAGGTTGGTCCATCTACAAAGGGGTACAAGACAGAATAATGCTTGTGGCTTCAGCCAACAGCCAGCAAGGGGCCACGACACCGGCTTCCAGCTCTCAAGCGCATGGCCCGTCAAAGGGGGAGTGGGCCAGTTGTGCTGCGACGCCAGCACCGTGTACATAAATCTTTCGTCATATCGGCTGCCCTAGTTTTAAATGTTTGAAGAATGGGGGGCGTTCTGGTCACCGTCAAGTATGGAACATGGGTCCGCTGCCTTGCCGCAACGGGCTTGTTTAACACACATCAAAGCTGGCCATGAAGAGCACTGTTCCGCATTGTGACATGACGATGGCTGTGCGCCGCTCTTCCTTTGTCTCTCCACCTCTTTCCTCGTTGACTACACAGTAGACATTCGTCACCGTCCAGGGTTCGCGATGGAGCTCGGAAGACAGCTCGGTGTCTGAGAGCCTTGTGTGTTGTGTGGTTGAAGGGCCGAATGTGTTTGCCGTTACATGGGGGGACCCGAAGGTCAACCAACGTTCCGGTAAGACGGGAGAATGTCCGGGCTTGGCGTCAGCTAAAAGGACAAGTGCTGCGTGGACACAGTAGAAGCTGTTCGCAATTGGATGTGGTACTCGTTTGGGCTTCGAAATCGCCGATCCGGCCAACTGCAGCCCTCCGCCCCACCCCTCCCCCCGACGGCATATCAAAGGCAACGAAGACAACGACAACTAGGGAGGTATATGGGCGGAAAACAGTCATGGAGCCAGAAACTTGCGCTCTTCACAACGTCACGTCTTGGGCTTAGTCGAATGGATTACATACAAAGAAGAGAACAGCCCGCTTGATGGTGGCTGCTCCCCATGAACCCAATGAACCAACACACTCCCTCCTGCCCAAGAACACAAAATCCAACCCTGAGCAACTAAACCGAGTCGCATGGCATGCTGTTCACTGACACCCATTGATTGCCCCTTTCAAGAGCGGATCCTCCTTTGACTCCACGTAACACCTGAACTCCCTTCTTTTTCATGCAGGGGGCGGAGAAAGAAAAAACAACAAGAAATCAACGATCAGTGAGAAAACACGGTTACCGCCCAAACGGAAACCCGTGCCCGCCACTGAACTTGAAGTGCATCGGCCCGCCGCCCTGCTGGAACATGAACGGTTGGCCACCAAACGGGTTCCCCTGAAACCCCTGCTGCTCGTGCGAGTTGGGGTCGTCGCCCCGGTCAAAGCGGGCGCGCAGCTCCGAGTTGCTGAGCACCTCGTACGCCTCGTTGATGGCCGCCATCTTCTTCTCGGCCGCCTCCTTGGTCAGCCCTTGCTTGGCCGCCTTGTCCGGGTGGTGCAACTTGGACAGCTTGCGGTAGGCCGCCTTGATCTGCCGCTCGTCGGCGTCGTGGGCGACGCCGAGCACCTTGTAGTAGTCCTTTGTCGTGCTCCGCTTGTGGGCTATCTGGGCTTTTTGCATGAGCGGCTGGATGGTTTCGTCCTTGCCCGGGTGGGCTTCGGACGCTTTGCGGAGCGTGCTCATGGCGGCTTCGAATTCTTCGGCGTCCATGAGGTGCTTGGCGCGGTAGAGCAAACCGTAGAAGGAGTTCTCGTCGAATTGAAGGGATTCTTCGCAGTAGTCTTTGGCTTTTTTGCTATTGGACTGTTTTGCAAGGTCAGTCGACAAGCGCAGTGTAAGATCAGTTGACGCACAGAGACTCACCTCATAATATGCCTGGCAAGCCATCTCCACTAGCCTCGTAATCAGGACATTCCCTGCCGCCTTCGGGATTGTGCCGTCCTCTCGTAATAGGTGCACCTGGTCCTTGACCTCCTTGATCAAGCCCTCGCCGTCCGTTGAGGGTACGAGCTGCCGTACCGCCGTCATGTGCTGCTGCTTCTCAAGCGCCTTGGTAACCTTCTGGACCACCTTCTCCACCATCCTCTCGACCTTCAGCAACCGCTTGCACTCCTTGGACTCGGGGTCCGAATGCAGGCACTTCCGGATCGACGCCATACCCTCCTGCAGCTCGCCCAGCGCATAGAACTGAATGGCGGAGATCTTGACGTGCGGTGCTGTGTCGCCGGGCTTCATCTGCAGGACGTGCTGGAGATCGCCGATGCCTCGTTCCATCGCGCCCCGCTCAAACGCACACCTGGCACGCAGCTCCCGGAGCGACAGCGCGCGGTTGGCCGTCAGGATGGCGTCGTCGGCCTGCTTGACGCACTCCTCCCAGTTCTCCGACTTGGCGGCCGCCTCGGCCAGCTTCGCCGCGCCCTTGGCCTCCTCCAGGCTCGCCATCTCGTCCGTCTTCTTCGCCTTCTTGAAGTGCTCATTGGCTGCGTCCCACTCGCCGAAGCGAGCCTTGAGCTTGCCCAGCTGCACGTGTGCGCCCTCGAACCCGGGCTGGAGCGACAGCACCTTCTCAAAGTCGTCGGTGGCTTGCGACGTGCGCCCCAGGGAAAGGTAGGTGGTTGCGCGCTTGAAGAAGGTCAGATAGTTGGTTGGATCCCTCGCGACGGCGGCATCGTAGTAGACGAGGGCATCGCCGGTTTCGCCCTTGGAGAGGTGGCTCTGCGCCGACGCCAGAAGCTGGGAGACGGGGATGTCGGGGGGAATGTCTGATGGCGACAGGCATAGCGAGGGTGTCGACAAAATGCTGGCAGCGAAGGCCAGCGTCGAGAGACGGACCAACATGGCGGCGGGTTCTGAGGTAGATGAGGTATCGGAGGTTGGTCTTGCTGGGGTCGGCGGTCAAGCTCGTGGGAGAATGAAGGTAGGAGATCAGAGGGCGAGTTCTGCTGTACTAGCAGGTCGCAAACACAAGGAACGCACTGATTGCGCTTGGAGCTAGGGGCAGCCTCAGGACGGATGAATGCGTCTTTTTTCGAATAAGATATCGATAATTGGCGCAGTGATATAGAGCACGGCGAAGTGGTCTGAGGGCTCCTCGAGAAGAGAGGTGAGGAGGTCGCTTTTGTCCACGCTGTAGTTTGACAGATGGGCAATTAAGTGCAGCAGCGCAATCTGGCCACTGCTGTTTTTGGCAGTCTTTCAGGTGCCTGGATTGAGGGACAATTAACGCCACCCCGTACAGTATTTCGTACAGTGCTAGTTAATCTTGGTCCAGCAAACGTGGGGTGGTCAATTCCCGTCGCGGAAGCTGGAGTGGGCATAAAAATGGGCAGAAAATTGACCGCCTTTCAACTGGGTCGAAAAAAATATTGAAGCTCGAATCGTGCTTCAAACAAGAGCTGACGCAACAAGCGACACACCCAACCCCGAAACCCGCCGACAATCCAATTTCTACGGCGGATACTTCGTCGCAATGTCGTTCAGAGGGGCTCCCCGGGGCCGCGGTGGCGGCGGCTTTGGCGGTCGTGGAGGTGAGCATGAATCGATCCCATTTCTGTATTTCATTTCTGCACGGGATTCAGGGAGGGGAAAATACAGCAGAAGAGCTGAAACAATAAAAATGGTTGGCAGGCCGCGGTGGTTTCCAGCGACAGGACATGGGCCCTCCGACCACCGTTCTCGAGATGGGCAAGTTCGTCCACGCCTGCGAGGGCGAAATGGTGGTCGAGTCGACGAATCCCAAGATCCCCCACTTCAACGCCCCAATTTACCTCGAGAACAAGGTACGCTACTACAACTCCGCTATACATTTTTACTGCTTCCGTGCTCATGAATTCTGACAATCAACTCTCCGTCTAACAGACGGCAATCGGCAAAGTCGACGAAGTCCTCGGCCCGATAAACCAAGTCTACTTCACCATCAAGCCCTCCGAGGGCATTCAGGCGACCTCGTTCAAACAAGGCGACAAGTTCTACATCGCGGGTGAAAAGCTCCTACCCCTCGACAGATTCCTTCCCAAGCCGAAGCCCCCTCCGGGCACCGTTAGTAAGGTCAAGAAGCCGAGCGGCCGTGGCGGCGCTCGCGGGGGTGGACGTGGAGGTCCCGGTGGTTTCTCGCGTGGCGGAGGCAGGGGCGGCAGAGGAGGAGGAGGAGGCTTTGGCGGGTCAAGAGGAGGCGGCTTTGGCGGCGGTGGACGCGGGGGTGCACCGCGCGGCGGCAGAGGTGGTTTCTCCCGGGGAGGGGGCGGCAGGGGCGGTGGTCGTGGCAGGTTCTAGAATGCAGGGGTCACCGCTTCAGTACAGGATTTCTCCGATATTTTGTGGACTGGTGCGAGAGCTGTATCACTACGGATTACCGTGTTCCGCCGGGGGCGAGCTCCAGTCTCAAAACATTGTGCGGAGCCGCATTGTTAACTCGGGGTTGGTCATGGGACTTGGACTGGCTACACAGGCGTTTCTGGGGGTTTCTGGGCTTTTTTATTGTAATTCACGGTGAAAATCGAACCCGATCTGATCTGCTTATGCACGAATAAGGGTGCAGCATGGCGGCATTATGGATGCCGTTCGAGACACTAGCTTTCTGTCTCTTTGGCCGCGCTTCTGACTTGGGAAAGGGACTTGCGTTCTTCCTCAGCCATTGTAGTGAACCCGGCATTATGAGAGAAAGGTTCGAGACGGTGTGGCCTACGATACCGGCAACACCTAGACACGGGCAACTCACCGTACATGGACAGCTGGCATCGCTCAAGGTATGACGATGCACATTCGTGATCTGGAAAAATGAGTCGGCTTAGAAATGAATTGATATGTCGCTATACGAAACCACGTTCCCCAAATGTATGACGTCCACACCCCAGTGTAATAACCTGCACCGGCCACGTGGGTCATGGTGCCGCCGCATACGAACCGTTGGGATATTCGCCTGGAACATGGAGATGGGAAATGGTCGGAACACTGTCGGTTCGGACCATAACTCGCGGCGGAGCTGCGGTCGCGTCCTCGGTCATACCCCGGCTCACCCCATGAACAGCAACCCCACCGCCGTGCGAAGTCTTAGGCTCGGCGTTCTTAGTACTGCGGCCGCCGCTCATGGTTGTTGCAGCACCCTGGGAGTCGTAGGCCTCGCTTGCAGCACCATTTCTTGTCGGAAAGATTGGCTGGTGTTGTTGTGGTGGTGGAATCGGCACGGGTTCCGCCCATATCGGTCCCTCATATCTCGTGTCAAGCGAAGACGCCCCGTGCCTTGTGGCCGATGACACGCTTGCCCGGCCTGGCTCCTGCGGCATTGGCCTGTGCCTCTGAGGTGCAGCAGCAGCGACAGAGCTAGGGAATGGCACAGACCCTTCGGCAAGACCATCTGCAGTAGACGCGTGCTGCAAGTCACCTCGTTCGCTACCGCGTGCACGGCCAGCTTCCTGGCTGCCATGCGGATACTGCCCGAACTCGCTCGACGGAGAGACGGACGTTGCGAAGGGGTATTGTTGGTTGAAACTTCCGGAGCTCACGCTAACTGGTGAGACGGGAACGTGTAAGCCTCGCTGAGCGTTTACCTGGAGGTCGGATGGGAACCGCCCACCTGAAGGACGTCGTGAGGAACTGTCTGGTCTTGGCTGCTGCTGGTTGACCGAAGCCGCGGTGGTCGTGAACGGTGGTTCCTCTACATCCTCGACTCCGTCGCTGCTGACCGAGGATCTTTGTGACGACCGGCTGATGCTCCGGCTGTTGGCACGTACAAGGTTGTTGCGCTCCTCCGGCGTTCGCTCTGTCACGACCTTGATGTCCTCGTACCAGGCCATCATTGTATCATAGCTCTCGGCGCGAAAGACCCATTTGTGGCCACGATGCATTGTCCCGATCTGACGTCCCTTGAGGACGAACTTGTTCGACGAGCTGCCGGCGGCCGAGTGGGATCCTAGTTTCTGCTCGGGAAGGTAGAGCGACATGACAGGCGCTTGCGTCTTATCTGCCGACTTGTACTCATGGAGATGAGTTGGAGAGAGAACGTACCTGAAGCATATCAGTCATTGCACACACCCAAGACTGCATAGGCAGAGGTGGTAGGCTGAGGGACTTACCATCCGGGTGTGTAGCTCTTCAGGTACTTGCTTTTGCGCTCCAGGAGCCCTGCTCGGATCTCCCGGCACGCGTAGTGGTCGCGACCGGGGTAATGGATCGTTTCAGCTGAGCGCATGGGGAGATCAGGGTTCACGAAGCGGTCGTCCCTCTGGATGAATGACGTCCATTCTCCATCCTTGGGCATGGAGATGGGCCCTGTACGAAGCTCCTCGATGGCATTGTAGGCGGCATCAGATTCCCTCTTGAGGATGCCGGCGTACGCGTTATACGCCTTCTGGATCTCGCCCACAACAATGGACTCGAGCTCCTTCCCAGAGTTCTCCAAGTTAAGGTAAGCCTGCACATCGTCAGCCACCACACCGTTTTCAGCCACATCAGCTAGTTCAATGCGTCGGCACATACCTGGTGCAAGTAATTTTCTTCATCAATCTGCCTTTCCAGCTGCCGGTCTACAATAAGTCTCAATAGGTAAGGATCTTGTTTGCCGACGGTTAGGGACGGGTCGAGCTCGGTCTGACCGAGCGCCTCCTGAAGCTGGTTCACGGCCCTGCGAGTGTTCTCCATTTCCTTGTCAACCGAGTTCTTGAAGTCCCCTGAGAGATTCTTGATCTCCTTGATCTTTTGCTGAAGGTCACTCCGTAACCCGGTAAGAGCCAGAATGACGTCCTCTTCAATCTCCCTGGCTTTGTTGGCCTCGGCGATCGCCTGCTTATTGTGTCCCCTCAAAATCTGCAGCGCATCGTCTAGGCCACCAGACGCGAGGAAGCCTGGCGGTGTCGCCGTGTTATTCAGCACATTGGACAGCTTCAGAAGCGACTTCGCCCGGTGCTCGTAGTGTGTCTGTAGCTCTCTAAAGTAGGTGATGAGATCTTTGAGAATCTTGCGCCAAGCTGTCCAAGACGCCCTATGTCAGCACAGTGCCCCTAAAATAACGAGCCATGCAGAGCATCTACGGACCTTGAAAGCGAGTCGCAAGAACCTCGGTCGGGTTGGCCCCGGTCGGGACGGGGGAGTAGAAGGCGCTGTGCATCTCGTCCTGATCTGTGGATGACTGGAGGGCCAAGCTCCGAACGCTCCCCGCTTTCATACTCCGACGGCTCCCACTGCGCTTCAAGCTCGCGCTTTTCCGAAGCGACGCCTTCTTTCTCAGAGTATTCCCACGGGACATAGTCGTTGCCCCGTCCCCCCTGACACCGCTCGCATGACCAGAGTATGAGGTAGACCGTTGCAAGCCTCCGAGTCCCGGGCCGTCGACAATGGAGCTACCGCGCTGGCTCGCATCCCACTCCTCGGTGAACCTGGTCGGCCGAGAGCCAACGGGAGAGATTGAAGTGTTACCATAGTCTACCGACGGATCCCCATAAGTGTGCGGAAGCGCATCGACGTCTGTGGCGCCCGGGTGGTAAGTCGGCTGGGCTTGCTGATGGGATAGTGAGCTCGTCGGCTCGTGCCCGTGGGAATGGAGCATGGGATTGACGGCGGTCTTAGCGGTCGACATGACCGAGGTCATTGCAATCCACAAATGGCATCTGAGTTATGGTTCGCAATCACCCGCTTGACTGAAATGTTAGCTCTGGCTGGACTGGGAGTAAGGTGCTGTGAAGGCCGGACGCACGCACTGTTCCTGGCAATCCCGGCAAATTCTTCCCAACATGCGTTGGAAGGGTCGAGATGGTCCAGCCGTGAAGACTCTTGTGTCAAGCGCAGACTATGTCCAGAGAAGAAAGGTCGAGGAATGCCCAGAAGAAGCGTGGGAGTTGGCGTGGCGCCAAGTTGATGTCGATGTTGAGGCTTAGAGCCGTTCTTGGCTCAACGTTCCGTTTACGGAAAGCAGCCGGCGACCCTGGCTTGGCGGACTGCTTGGGTGCTGACGTCCCCACCACGGATTGCACCGGGGGTTACTCCGTATCCGTAGAAACAATGACCTCAGACGTTTTCCGCAAAAGACCTGGGAATGAAACTGCAGAGAACTTCCAGTTCAAACGACTTCTCAAGCTAGTTGCAGATAATAAAACTGAGTACATAAATTGGAAGCAGAAGGGGCCCGAGACTTACTGAAAGCCTGGTCAAGGTTTTGAAGGTTCTCTGGGGGTGACTTGCCAATGACGTATGACGCGGCCCTTGGAACCCTTCACCACACCACAAGGACTTCCGTAGAGGCTTGTGACGAGTGACGTCTGGCCTTCCGTAGGACATGTGACTTGGTGAGAGTTGCACTTGTGCGTGGCCAACAGAACACCCAGGGCTGCTGCGTCACCACATGTGTGCTGCAGGAGGTACAGCACATTGCTTGAGTGATTGTGCACAGAGGACAGAAAGGGAGTCGTCTTTCCCGGGAAGCGCATGTAACGACAATGCACACAATGGCATTTGTGAGCCTGCTTATCCTATATTGAAGACGTACAGTTAATTCTTTGTGTCCCTTGCGTTTAGCAAGCAAAGCAATACACAAGAGATACATGATTAGGTGCCTTATCTCTCTGGCACTGTTTCCCATAGATACCTGCCCCATGTCGCCATTCTACAATCCGTATACACACAATTCCACCCCTCGAACGCGCGAGGGAACCCTTGGCCTCCTCTCATGTGATGAATCAACGCACCCAAGAGAGGCGGTCGAGAGTTTCTGTCCCTCCCTTCGTTTTCGCTGCTCGCGGAGTTTCCGCTTGTCCCTTGATAGTAGTTGGTGAGGCCGCTACAGTTTTGCCGGGCTAGTCTGCTGATCCTTTCCCTTCCTGCTGTTGTGCATTTCTCGTTGCCGCCGCGCCCGTTGTTGTTCCTCCGTCCACTGTCATTTCCTTCCACGTTGTCCCCCCCCCTCGGTTGTTCTTGTTGCCCCCTTTGTTATGGTTGTCCCCTCCTCCACTGTTTCCTTCGCCTCCGTTGTTGCCGCCGCCCCTGTTTGTTGTTGCTACCGAGGTCAGGCGCGCCGGGGCCGAGCGCTACAGCTTGAGCGATCAAGTCCGCCGCCACCAGCCCCTTCTCACCATCGTTGGCCGCAGGGTTGATGCCATCCACATTGCCTGCCACAGTAAACCTGACGCAGTCGTGCTGGGAGCCCCGCTGGGCAACGGGCATTATGACCAGCTGGTGGTTGGCAACTGAGATTCTGGTGCAGAGACGATGATCCCGCGGGCAGACCACCCCTCGCGGTTGTTGAGAGCCTGCCTCGCCTGTCGCCCGCATTGTTGATAGCCCTTGAAAAGGCGAATTTTGTTGGGTCAAGCGGTTCGGTTGGATTCAGGTCGGGACCCGCATCCTGCACGGTGACATGGACATGGCCGATGACCCTGCCGCATTCGAGCTGCTGCGGTGCACCGTAGTAAGTTGCGGCGGGGTTAGTAAAGGCCCCGGCTCCAAGTTCGACACCTGGAATGTGATGTTGAAGTCTTGTCCTGACTTAATGCAGTCGCTATTCTGCGGGTTTGTGATAACAACTGAGATCATGTTGTTGACCGACGGAGTTTGACCCATCACTAGCGACCAGTCAGCATCCTGAATCTCACTCTGGCGGGTGACTAGCGATGCCCACCAATGCCATTGCACGAGCCCTCGAAGATTTGGAGACCGTTGGTGAGAGTCTGCCCTTGCAATAATTGATAAAGTTGCTTTTGAGGTTGAGGATTGGACCTGCGCCTGATCGGCGCCGAGGGGGTCTATAGTATGTCCCATCTGTGAAAAATCCAGCCTGAATAACGTCTGGATCCAGTGTCGGAGTCTTGTTGTCACCCTGGCCTGCACGAGGGCCGTCCTCAGAAGTAAAAGAAGGCCTCAGAATGGCATGATCACCTTGCCGGCTCGTTGTCTTGGTAATACAGGAGTGGCAGGCTGGCACAGGAGTGGCAGGCTGGCCGACCAGGAATAACAAGTCACGGGCAACGAGAAGTCTGAGCAATTGAAGAGGTAGAAACCGAAACGGAGTTTAATGATGTAGCTTTCAACAAACTACCTTGGGAGAATAACCACATAATCAGGGGGTGAGGTCATGGGCAAGGAGTGGCGATATGGCTGACTCGTGAACCGGACCGCTAGAGCTACTAGTACAGTACAATCGCAACCATGGTGTCTTGTGGGCTCCTCCAAACGCCAATCAAGCGGAGTGCTGTGACAGAGTGGGAGCTAATTCACAAGACTGACACACTTTCCCAGCACAAGAAAGCAAAAGCAAAAGGAAGAAGGCGTCGCGGCACCGCGTACAGACCGGAGAATAGACAGCGTACGGATAGCTGAGATCACAGTGTAAGGAATGTGTAGAATAGCCAGCACAGGATGGCGTGAGTAATAGTCCAAGTGTCGGGACAATGGCTGCGGCGGGGAACAGTCTCAGAGTCGTCCCGGTTACCGAGCTTGGGACAGATATGGCCGACTAGGCCGGCGTCTGAAGAGGGGTGATACAGGTCAGGAAACCCGGGTGTCCATTATTATGGACGGCCACCGCAACTGGACATAGCAATATGCCTGAGGGTTCATTGCAAGATCGCCAGCTTGGTTGGAGGGGGCCGATGTTCGGGCGATACTTCCCGCCTCCTGCCTGCTCAAATCTCGGCAAAGCGCCCGTGGTACGTGGAAGTGTCAGCGGGCGGGTTGTGGTGTCACAGCGGAGGCCCAAAATGCGACCTTGTCTGACTGCCAGCATGTCCGGCCACCGACCGAGGATGGTTGACCATGTTGATACAAAGTCAGGCTGGGTGGACTGAGACAGGTGATGCTTGCCATGACCAAATGTCCATACCCGTACCGAGGAAGGTATCGCCTGCTGTTGTCAGCGACACAAATATTCAATAGCATTGAACGAATTTCCTCCTAGACCCGTCTCAGATCTTTAAAAATTCCATGAAGTTCTTTATAATTTCGCCGAGTCGCAACAGGTCTTAGATCCAAAGAAGGTCATGCAGTCGAGGAGGAGCCTTGGCAGTCCCCTCACTTCCGGAGACTTCGAACTCCTGCATACCCAAGCCCTATATGCGGTTCGGAGAACTCAATGTCCCGTTGTTTGAAGGCAAGGACGGCACAAAGTCAGCTGACTGCATAGGCAAGACACCCGTACCAGCTTATGCGCCGAACGTATCTGCGTGCAGGCAACCCACAGCATATACAACTCTTCCGTCCTGAGTGGGCGGATCCTTCCTGAACTGAGGAAAGGAAGAGAGGAGCGGGGAGCCGCGGTTAGCTGAGTCTCCCTTCTCTTGACAGTTCAGTGGCTTTCATTTCGATACTATGATAGCCAATGAGGCGCATTTGCTATAGCTGTTCAACGAATCAATGGTGCATGGGATAAGACAGGAACGTGATGCAGCAAATGGTTGGGGGGGGGGGGAGGTTTTGTTGCGATAAGTCACCGAAGTGGCATTTAAGCTCTCACCACACCTGCAAGCTGGCGGCGGGCCCACAATATTCAACTCTGGACCCCGATAAACGCCGTGAATGAACACGGGGTGGGCAATCCCTAGCTGAGCGAAACTGTCCAGGGTCGACAAAGAGAACCATTGCACAGCTCGGCCACAATATAATATTTTCTCCCTTCCTTGACTCAGGCATCTCACCCTTAAAATCCACAGTCCCGGCCCCCCTCGACCACACTTGTCCGCCTTACATCTTTACCCCTGATTTTCCACCGATTGGGTTTCGTGAATTCGTCCTCTTCACTGTTTCCGCGCTTGCACCCCGTTGTCGGCGAGATACCTGGCTCAAAATACCTTGAGGCCAATCACACGATCACCTCTAGCTCACGGTCTTTCTTCGTTATCGTGCACTTGCAACATGCCGTCCTCATCCTCACCAGAACACCGGGCTGGAAAAAGGCCAAGTAAGTGGAAACTCACTGCCCCCTATTCTCTGACGTCTGCCTTCTGCCAGGATGGTCAACAGAGGCTCAGTTTCGAACCCTTTTTGCCAACCTGGTATCGGTACTTGAGCTTCACTGCACTCAAAGTCCCTTTCCATTTTTCCTGGTCTCCTTGATGGGAACTGGGCACCTGTTGGTTGGGGGCCTGGCACCGCAAGTTGATGGAAAAGACCTTGGAGGGGAAAAGTTCCGAACCCAACTGGGGACCCCGCTTTCGGGCCAGATGTCTGGAAATAAGAAGTGGCCAGCCACTTGACCTCCATCAATTTTCCCCTTCACTACGTCCATACCTTACTGCTCAGGACGGTTCTCCTGTGGCTATAAAAGGCACATTCAGCCATCTGACCCAGTCGACCACATGGCAGGAACCCAGTCGCTACCACCTCCGGCGCTGCCGCAGCTGGTCGCCGAGCAGCATATGCCAATCCCGCCAACCGACAAGGACTCGAAGCGACTGATTGTTGTTCTGTCGAACGCCAGTCTCGAAACCTACAAGGCGTCGCATGGCGGGCCCAACCGCATGGGCGTGCAGAGGGAGGAGAAGTACTCGCTGCTCAACAGCGACGAGCATATCGGCGTCATGCGCAAGATGAACAGGGACATTAGCGACGCCCGGCCCGACATCACACACCAGGTTTGAATGAGCCGTCGCTTTCTCTAGCATTGTGCTTGCAGCCGCTGACGGTTCTACCCTTGCGCAGTGCCTCCTCACCCTCCTCGACTCCCCCATCAACAAGGCCGGAAAATTGCAAATATACATCCAGACTGCCAAAGGCGTGCTGATTGAGGTTTCGCCGTCGGTTCGCATCCCGCGAACGTTCAAGCGCTTCGCTGGCCTGATGGTCCAGCTGCTCCACCGTCTCTCCATCAAGGGCACCAATTCGCAGGAGAAGCTCCTGAAAGTGATCCAGAACCCCATCACTGATCACCTGCCGCCGAACTGCCGGAAGATCACCCTCAGCTTTGACGCCCCGCTGGTGCGGGTGCGCGACTACATTGACACGCTTGGGGCGAACGAGAGCATTTGCGTCTTTGTGGGCGCCATGGCCAAGGGCCCGGACAACTTTGCCGACGCCTACGTGGACGAAAAGATCTCCATCAGCAACTACAGTTTGTCGGCGAGCGTTGCATGCAGCAAATTCTGCCATGCTGCGGAGGATTCCTGGGATATCCTTTGAGCCGGATGCAGCGCGTCGTCGTCGCGGCCGACCGGCCAGCCCCTCCAATATCGACAGGGAACATTGGGACTGGATGGAAAGATCTGACAGCCCCCTATTTTCATTTGGGGTGCTGCGGTTGCATTGCGCCTGTCCTGCGATACAACATCGCTGGTTAATGGCCATTGTCTTCCGGAACTTGGGACGTCTGTGCTTGAGCTGTCGGTGTTTTTGCAACCAAAACATGGGGCGTTCAACAACGGATCCCAAGACGCTTTCGTCGTCTGCGCGGTGCCACTTCAACTTGGCCCGCGTCTTCCCCTTTTTCCTGGCTATATGTTTCATAGTTTTCATTCCTGTCTTCGGTATCTCCATGTTATGACTAACTGACAGCTCCATCATATCCTACGGCTCACGAACCAACCAGCCAACGCCGACAGAGGAGTCTGTGGAAGCGAATGAGAGTGGATTTGGGTTGTGTTTCTGAGGCGAGGGGCTGGGTTCAAGAGACATGGAAGACCGAGGGACGGAAAATACTCGACAGGGAATGTGAATAGGGATGAAACCCGCATTGGTTCCGCTCCACCAAGCCATGACATATGTGTGCAGTCTCCCATGTGTGTCGCACCCCTCAACTTGGGTTATAAGCGTGGCAAGTCAGTGAGGTCGTCAACCCAGACCGCTGATTTCAAAGGGACATAACCGTCCAGTACAACCCTGTGTACCTTGGGCAACAATCGTCACGCAGGCAGGCCCCACAAATAGGCGGCCTCACCTCAAAACTCATCGCCAATTAAATAGCCGAACTGCTTCCACCAAACGGTCTAGCCGCGTGCCCCACGTACGTCTGTCACTTTTGTCACCCTCCGCAACAGACGACAACCATGGAGCAGCGACAACGTATGGGCAAGTCCGCATAGGGTCTTGCGCCTGCTGAATGTCTCGCTTCTTAAAGAGTTCCATCAGACACGGCTTCCAAGGCCCGGGGTGAGTGCTTCAAGAGCTGCCCGAGCAGGTTTTTGAGAGACGCCTCGGTCAACGGCCACACCACCTGAACCGCGAAACATCATGATCGGGGTTTGAAAGCGGGGCATCCAGTTCCAGAAAACTGGAGAAGACCCATCGTGGCAGGCTGTAAGTTCGTCCGAATGTGTGCTGAACCTGCAGAAAGTGAGAAACCGAGCCACTAATAAGCCACCCCCGACTTGCCCTGTTCTGTAAGACGGAATCACAGCCTACCGGCTCAGGCCGGCTGAGCGTTTTCAGGTCCTGCAGGGCGAGCGTTCCTGCTTCCCCAGTACCCAATCCCGCAACGGCAGTGTATTGTACTGTACAAAGCAGGCGCATTTTTTGGCCGAGATCTGAGTTCAACAAGACCCAACCCTCTCGCATCAGCCTCGAAGGTTCGGAGGGGCCTTGGAGGATTGGCCGAGTAGTGGCCTCCGTGTGTTGGGTTCGAGTCTCTGAGATCAAGCTCTCAAAATTGCCATTCGCGAACCACCCATTCAACGTCCAACCCTTTTGTTGGACTGCAAATGTTTCGCTGCGGGGCCAGGGTATCGACCCAGTCTCCAGGTTGGGCAGCACCGTCCATTCCCATGCCTGGCACAAGGCCAAGCTGCCTGGCCCTCTCGCCATAATTCCCTATCATGTCCCTTGCTGAGCAAACGGAAGCATGAGATGTTGACTCGTGTCTCGAGACTTCCGATGCGACTCGAGTTTCGTTTCCCCTGTCTAACCGTCATTCTGCAAAGACCCGAGAAAGGAGAAAGCTCATGTTTCCCTCTTTCTTTCAGCATTCCGCTTGTCACGTTTGATAGACCATTCCAACGCGCCGGCTCATAAAACGACTTTGACAAGGGACAATTCGAAAATAGTCGGGCTACGTGAAGCTCGGCCCGTGGCATCGCTTGCTTGGACCTCAGCTCACAAGCAGAGAGCAAGACCCTTGACCAGCTCGCCTCGTCACGCCACACTGCCCTGAATCATCCAGAGCCTGTCGAGTGCTGCCCTCGGGAGCCTTCCGGCCCCATCGTCCCTGTGCTCGTGCGACACACGACACCGCACTGCTACCCTCGGCGCAAGGTTCTTCTGCCTCTGCCCGGCCGTGGTGCGCCGGGGTCAATATATTGCACTAATGCTTCCGTTTCTAGAGGTCGAGCACCTCCCCTCCTCCTCGTCCTTCTACTTGGCCATTATCCAGCCCCTGGGTCTGCGCTACTTTTCTACTGAAGACGGGCATTTCCCCTCAATCGTCTACGGAGACTCTTTACGGACTACTCCTATTTTCCAGATCCGGCAGGTGGTCTCGAGTAGGGACCGGCCCCTGAGGACATCGCATATTGTGCTCAGCGCTCCTTCAGCGGCCGCGGCCGACGAGGCCTACGAGTTTGCATTACGGGCCAATCCCGACTCGCGGGACACGCACCCTCGCCACATCGCCGACAGCTACGCTGCTGCGGCCAGTGGCGCGTCGTCCCGCCGGACACGCACCAGCGGTGGCGGCACTCGGGTATTTATAACCGACTTTGTCGGCAACATGATGGAAATTGTCTACCAACCGCCTCCAGACTATCCTTCGCACTACAGCGGCTCGACCATACGCCACACGAGGTCAACCAGCGAAGAAGCCTGCCGCATACTCGAGTGGAATTACGACGTTGCGAGCTCGGCTCTGCCGTGCCCTGCCGGGCCCAGCTCCGTCTCGACTGCGTCGGTCCGCACCCCCTCCCGTCGCTCTCACGCCGCCCGCTATCTTGAAGACGACGACCAGCCGCAACCCGGGATCAGACGGAGTGTTACCACGGCCGGATCCTCGGTTTATGAGCCAGCTACCTCGGCACGAGAGAACTCCAACGGCCTGAGCGCCGGCGCCGTCGTTGGGACCCTTCTTGGCGTTGCAGCCGGTGCAGCGCTGGGCGGCGCATTCACGTACAACATGGTCAAGAGCGATAAGAGCCGCTCTTCCCGGCTGCAGGAGTACGACGTGCCGCCATTCCCGCGCCGCTCTACCTTTCCCGAAAAGTACGATGGGTATTCGTCCTCGGATCGCAAGAGCCGTTATGCCGACGTGGAGCGCGGAGTCGAAAAGCTCCGCCGCTATCAGAGCGACTATCCCCCGGCCCCGGCCTCGGACTACCGCCGCCCTCCGCCCGAGTATATTGCCCGGTACAGCAGCCACGTCGACTCACCACCCCCACCACGGAGCAGGAGCAGGGCGGCGGACGACGACATCGTCGTCAATGACGACTCGCGGGGCCGCCACCCGTCTTCCCGGTCTTCTCGAGCGCCTTCTGCTGCTGCTAGGCCTCGCAGCGAGTCGGCTACCCACAGGGAGCCCTTTGCCGCCGGGGTCGAGAACAACCCATGGGCAGCAGACTATCATCGCGGCAGCAGCTATGTGAGCTCGAGGAGCTCAACAAGGCCCCGTGACCACCACCCGCCCATCGTCCAGCGCAGCTACACATACGACACCCCCGTTGACCGCGAGAGCTACGTCTCAGCCAGGAGCCGCCGGTCAAATAGCACGGTGCGCGGCGGGCCATCGCCGGAACCCTACACGACGAGCTCCAACACGAGGCCAGGCAGCAACAGTCGTGTGACAACGACAACAACAACCCGGAAGACGTACAAGGTGGGCAGCAGCGGCGGAGGCAGCAGCCCTCGGAGCTATATATCATATGGAAGTGGCCGTGGCCGAGACCGAAACCGAGAAGGGAACAGCTACATTTCGGCACGCCACGTCCCTCTTCCAGACAGCCGCTTGCCGAGCTACGTCTCGGCGCGCGATATTCCGCTGCCCGACAGCCGGGCGCCGACCTACATTTCGGCGCGCGACGTCCTGCTGCCGGCGAGTAAGCCGGCAACGTATGTGTCGGCAAGGCATGTACCGCTGCCGGAGAGTCGGGTGGGCACGGGTAAATGGGAGGATGAGGATGATGGTGAGGAGGATGATGCGGATAGCATTGCGCCGAGTGATAGTATCAGTTGTGTGGGGAGCCGGGGGAGGGGGCGGTAAGAGAGTAAAACGGGGGAAGGGAGAGTGTGCTGTTGGTTGGACTGCAGTGGATGGCGCATGGTATGGTGTTTTAGAATGTTTTAGGAGGACTGTTGCGTTTCTGGTATAATATTATTATAAAGACTCACCGTTCATGGTTGGGAAGATAGTTCCTTGGTATGCACGGTAATCTTGTGGTTGGATGTTTGTTCTGGCTTTGGTTCGCTTGTGGGTTGAGCTTGCTGGCCTGTGAATACAGCGCTGTGTCTGTGCCCCGGCGGTGACCCCGAGTCAGGTCAGCGGGGGGTGTCTGACAAAGTCAAACGAACTTGGAACCTGGGGCCGTGAACACCTGGGGGTTGTATATGCTTTCATGTTCGATAGAGAAGTGTACTATACGGGAGGTATCTGTTCGTTGGTCGCATCCTACTACCCAAGGTACGATCTCCTTCCTGTCGTTGGATGGCGGACAGCCACAGCAGGCCTGAGGGATCGCTCGCCGTCCAAGGTACTTGGCTGCGCCATCATCCTCGATCCGAGATCTGGCCGGAATCTTGTTTCGAATAATCGCTGTGCATGTTCGCAATCTGCTCCTCCCGGAACAACACTACATACACAGTGCTCGAGACGGACCGCTGTTAGACCGCGTGGGGGAGTGTTGCACCTCGCCAAGGGCGCCTCGATCCCATCCCATTAATCATTTACATTTCTATTTATTCTTAGAGTAACTATGTTTAACTAATACTTAAGATAATTCGGGTTACTGTGACTCGAACACAGAAATGATATCGGGCATTTCTTGGCAGGCAACAAGCGTCCATTCCCTTCGCCGCAGTCTTCATTCCCTATTCTTTAAATTGTTGCTGTCGTCTGACAGTGATGAAGAAAATGAGTGAGTGACGTTACCTAGAATGGGAGAATCACTGGCGCCCAATGCTGCCGTCCCCATATTTGGCCCGCTGGTATATTTTGCCTCCGATTGTCGGAATTGCCTGCAGATGTATCGATTCAACCCACTCACACCCCCTCCACACACACAACCGACCTAAGAAGAACGTGAACGTGGGCGGCAGGACGATTACCTGGTAGCTTACTAGGGCCTTCTACCAATTGCTCTCCTTACGTACCTACTGCTCTGACCAACTGTCTGGGGTAAAGCCTGCGGATCTTGCTCAATATTTAGTGAGTCAACAAGTGCCCGCACCTCCAGATCACAAGCACCCAATCACCCCTAATTATGCGACTGCTTGAAAGCATCCCCATCAACAACTTTCGAAGACCTTGCAGACAGAACCAGAATTGTTGACGACCGGAATTATTGAGCACTGGAGTTGAGGCTGTACCATCATTCCCAGCATGCCAGACCTGGATCTCGGGGAGTCTATTCCCCCGCATACAGCTCATGTAAGTGAAAAGATAAGCATCATCACACGTGCACCCTGAGCTGATTGAAAACTCTGCTGAAATGGGCTGCACAGGCTGTGAGTGTCTCGCTGCCGACATGGAAGTCAAACATTGGCTATGAGGAGGGCGAGGACTGGGTTGTTGGCCGCATGACGACCGGCTATCCTCGGTGTGTTCCCAGCACATCATCTGCTGCTTCTCGGCTTCCCCATCGACTGACACTCCCCCAAAGCTTCTTCATTCACAGAAGCATACAAGAATTCGCCGCAGATATCGTAGCGAGGGTTGGCGCCAAGGCCTCCAAGGCGTTTCTGTTTCCAAACCGCCAGATTGCTGCCCGCTGTGTGTCTTTCGTCAAGGCCCGCGCTCCTCCCGCAGTTGCCGCCTCACTCGACACCGTCCACCTTGTTTTGGATACGACTCAACCAGGCGCCGGAGCTCTGGCGTCCCTCAATCCGGCCATCTCTGCCGTCCTCGGGTCCCAGGATGCATTTTCTTTTCTCAAACAGTACTGGCAACATACGGGCGACGGCGTGTCTAGCCGCAGGGCCGAGTTCTGCCACGCCCTCCTTAAGAATGGCCTGCTCCGCTTAGACGACGGGGCGACGGGCCCCGTTTCTCCCACGAGCGCCAAACCATGTAGAGGACCCAAGCGCTACCAGCGGCCGTCGTCCATGGACACCACAGCCAAGCATGTCAGCCCGGACAGAGAAGGGGTCGCGGCCCCAGATCTCCAGGAGACATCCCGCTTCTTGGAGGAGCGCTTTGGCCGGAACCTCGACGTCTCGTTTGTCCAGCCGGCCAAGTCCGCCATCAAGCGGAGGATTGCCGGTGCTCTGCGCACCGACAGCGAGCTCAGCAGGGCGGCTCCCCCGGACCACGAGATGGAGTTCAACACGCGCGGCGTCGTCAATCTCCGGGAGGAGGACATTTACCTCTTCCCCTGTGGCATGAGCGCTATCTTCAACTCGCACCGTGCCCTACTCAGTACACGCGGCAACATGAAGAGCATCAACTTCGGCTTTCCCTACGTCGACACGCTCAAGATCCTCGAGAAGTTCGGTCCCGGCGTGGTCTTCTACGGGTACGGCTCCGAGTCGGACCTCGACGACCTCGAGAAGCACCTCCAAGCCGGCGAGCGCTTCCTCGCCCTCTTCTGCGAGTTCCCCGGCAACCCTTTGCTGACCTGCCCCAACCTGACCCGCATCCGGCAGCTCGCCGACAGGTACGACTTTGCCGTCGTGGTGGACGAGACGATCGGCACCTTCGCCAACGTCAATGTTTTACCTTTCGCCGACATTGTCGTCAGCAGCCTGACCAAGATCTTCTCGGGCGACGCCAACGTCATGGGCGGCAGCGCTATTCTCAACCCCAACAGCCGCTATTATGAGAGTCTGAAAAACTGGGCGCGCACCGCCGGCGGCCTAGACGAGGACACGTACTGGCCCGAGGACGTCATGTTCCTGGAGCGCAACAGCCGCGACTTTGTCTCGCGCATCGACCGCACCAACGCCAACGCTGAGGCCATTTGCGATGTATTGAGACAAAGTCCTGTGGTCAAGACCATCTTCTACCCCAAGTACAACGAGACCCAAGCCAACTACGAGGCCTGCAAGCTGCCGAATGCGGGTTATGGCGGTCTGATCTCGGTCGTACTGCGTCGGCCGGAGCAGGCCGTCGCCTTCTACGACGCCATCCAGACGGCCAAGGGGCCGAGTCTGGGCACCAATTTTACCCTCACCTCGCCGTATGTCCTCCTGGCCCACTACCAGGAGCTCGACTGGGCCGAGGGTTTTGGGGTGGAACGCGACTTGATTCGTATCAGTGTCGGGCTGGAGGAGACGGAGCACATTGTCAATGTGTTTAGGGGCGCTCTCAAAGTGGCCGAGGAAAGTACGGCGGCAAGTCAAGAGCAGTAGTAAATGGCTGGACAAACCAAAAACAAATCAAACTATTAGAGCACTACCTGTCGCGCTACCCGTGGTATCATGATTGTGCCCTCTGTGCGCCTTGTTTCCGCCCGTAAACGCGAAACCAACCCTTTTAAACGAGGTCGCCACCGCCCCATATCACCGACCAAATCACATCACGGTACACTGAGGACCATTGGGGTCGGTCGCGTAGATGCCATACAATTCCTTGCGCCGCTCAAACTCGTTCTGTCTTTGCTTTTCCTGGGTCTCCTTGGGGAACCATCGCTCGAGGTACCGCACCAGCTTCTCGTCAATGTGGTCTAGCCGCCGTATCATGTCAGCAAAATGATATCCATCCCCAACGCGGCGGGCGAAACATACTCTCGTTGGCTCGCTGCACCACGTCAGCTCGGCAGAGTGGACAGAAGCGCTTGTTCTGGTTCTGAAGCTTAATCATGCACCGTATGCAGAACAAGTGGTCGCAGTCGAGCCGGACAGGCAGCCAGCTGATGGAGTAGCAGATCGGGCATGTGTAATCCAACAGCTGGGGGACCACGCTGATCACCTCCCGGGCCAGTTGGGCGCAGATGTCTTTGGAAATGGCCTCGGAGATGAAGTGGGCAGAGTACATGATCTTTGGGAACGTTGTCTTGACCCCGAGAGACGTGCGTTTGTCGAATTCTGGATGATTGAGACATTAGTTCACAAATCAGGGTACAGCCAAGAGAGAATTTCATCTTCCATCTTCCATATTCGGAAAACTCACTTTTGATTATCTTGGTGATGGCTGTCTGGTTCAACTCCTGAAACTGCAAATTTTGCAGCAGGGTCGCGTTCAGCGCCAGAAACTGATTATACGCAACCGCACTCGACTGAATCTTGAACTTTTGCGGCAGGCCCCGCTTGTTGACTTCGTCTTGGAACCAAACAAGCTGCTTCCGCGCCTTCTCGCTCTTTCTCACACCGCCGGCGGCCTCGTTGGTGGAGAAAAACACCTGCGCGGCCAAGTACAGCTCAAAGATATCGCGCCAGCGGTACAGGTCCGACTTGAACAGCTTGATGAGCCCCTTGTGCGGCTTGGCTACTCCCGCGATTTGGTTCCCGAGAGCGTGGATTTGGTCGTTCATCGACTGCCGCTCCAAGCTTTGGAGCGAGTCCAGCTCGGTCACCTCGGCCTGCAGCAGGCCGAAGAAGCGGGCGTCCGAGTTCAGTGGAATCTTGACCCATTCTTCGTCCCTATCGCCGCCGTCGGCTCTGGGTTCGTGGTGGTGATGGTGATCCTGGTCCTGACCTGGCTCAGGCAGACCGCTGACGGCGGGATCGGCGGCATCATCAGACGCTGAAGAAGGACGAGTACCCAGCTCGGCTTCAGCCCCAGCCTCCGGTGAAAGTCTGGGTTCCGTCGCCGTCGTCCTCGCGCGGTGGTCCGGCAAGACCGAAAGTGTGCTGAGGCTGGGTCGCACAACTAGCTTCGGCCTTAGCAAACTAGCGCCGTCGGTCTCAAGGCGGTATTCGGCGTTGTGGTCGGCCAGCAGCTGGTGGAGCCGGTCTGGGTCGTAGCCGTTCCGGATGAGTTCGTCCCGCACCTTGGCTAGGATCTTCTTGAGCTGGCGGTAGTGGATCGCCTTGTCCACCCAGTGCTGCGGATAACTGTCCGAGGCCAACGCCTCGAGAAAGGCATGCCCAAATTTCATTGTGGTGAGCTTGACGTAGGGCTTAACGCTGGGAACACAAAGGACCGTGTTGGTGCATGCGCCGAGAGATGCCTGTGCATGGCGGGATGCGAGTCCGGGTGTTCCACCACAGCAGACCGGGACAGAGCCACTCTACAGGTATGTGAGGTAGTGGGACGGATGTGCAGGTCACTGAGGGGTGGAAGGGCAGGAAAATCAAGGTTACACACGGAGAAAGGCTGGCTAGTCGTAGGGAGTACCTGACAAGTACTCTGGCTGTCTGGTTGCGCCGACGTGGCGGAAAATGGCTCAGAGAAACATGGATGGAGGCAACTTGGCTCTCGGTGAAGACCTCGCTGCCTCAGTCTTGGTCACATGCGGTGGCTTTTGTTACCTAACGGTTGACGTTACTGGTGTGAATGCCCCGCTGCATGTTCCATTTCCATAAAATCGGGCTCCTCCGAATTGGCTTGTGCCTGTCAACCAACCGACCTCATCGAGTATAATGCAGGAGCTAGCAGCACGGGATAAGCCATATTTATTGTTTGTGCTCGCCTGACGCTTTGCTGAGTTTGTCCCTCGGCGAGGAAATTGCTGTAATGCTGTAATGTAACAGTGTGTATGCCGTATGTTGCATTATCATGTCAGTTTGTACGGTACAGTACGTAAGGCACCCCATAGCACAGTACGGATTACACCCAACTCGATCCATTCACTGCTCCCCCACCCCCACTAATCCGTACAATTCTTTCCCCCACATTAGGTAACGATAAGAATGCATAGGTACGTTCTGCCCAAGTCCGCTGACTGACAACCATCTGCTCTGCCATAGCTCCCAGCAATACAAACAACTTCCCAACCGTCCAGAGTAGTGAAGGGATGGGAGCTGAGCAGTCGGCCCCTCGGGGACGTGGCAACCAGGCCCCGGTTGTGCGCAAGACATGCTACTACGAAGTACTCGGGGTAGATCGGCAGGCACCCGACGAGGAGTGAGTGTGTTTCGTCTGTCTATAGGTACAGCGCATCAGGTTCTGATATGCTCCAGTATCCGCCGAGCATACAAGAAGAAAGCCTTGGAGCTGCACCCAGACCGCAATTACAACGACACCGAGAACGCAACCAAGCGGTTCGCCGAACTGCAAACGGCCTACGAGATCCTCTCCGACCCCCAAGAGCGTGCCTGGTACGACTCGCATCGCGATGCTATCCTCAACGGTGAGGACGACGTTGCGGGCCCCGCGCCCACTGACCAGTCCGGGAGTGGCCACACCTCAGCCAATGCCATTTTCGCCCTGATGAGCCGCTTCAACTCGAGCGTGCCCATGGACGATAGCCCGAGAGGCTTCTTTGGAATTCTCAATGACTTTTTCGACCAGCTGGCCGCCGAAGAAACCGCTGCGTGCGAGTGGCTCGGTATTACGCCGACCGAGTACCCGCCGTTTGGTCACGCCAGGGACGAGTACAATCCGCTGGCCAAGCGCTTCTATACCGTGTGGTCAGCCTTCGCGACAAGGAAGACGTTCAGTTGGATGGACAAATACCGTCTCTCAGATGCCCCTGATCGTCGGGTTCGCCGCCTAATGGAGAAGGAGAACAAGAAATTCCGCGACGAAGGAATCCGCGAGTTCAACGATGCTGTCCTGTCCCTGGTTGCTTTTGTCAAGAAGCGAGACCCCCGCTATGTGCCCAACACGCAGTCTGAGGCTGAAAGGCAGCAGGTTTTGAGGAATTCAGCCGCTGCCCAAGCCGCACGGTCAAGGGCCGCGTACCAGGAGAAACTCGCCGAGTACGTCGTGCCGGAGTGGGCGCAGTTTCGGGACGAGGAGGAACACAACGGCCAATTCTCCGAGTTTTCCATGTCGGAAGAAGAAGACGAAGTCGAGCTGCTGGAATGTGTCGTGTGCAACAAGACCTTCAAGAGCGAGAAGCAGTTTGAAGCCCACGAGAAGAGCAAGAAGCACATCAAGGCCGTGCAGCAGCTACAGCGGCAGATGAGAAGGGAAAACGCCAATCTTGATCTCGACGACCCGAAGCCCGATCTTCCGCCGTTACCCACCGGCCACGAAGGGCAGCTTGAGGAGCAGCTGCCGGGGAATCAGGAGGGAGACTTGACACTTGATCCTGCTGACGGAGCCCTTCAAACGGAAAACTTCCAGGAGGGAAACAGTGAGGCCCCAATATCAGCTGGTCGGGAATATACAGACAAAGGCACACCGTCCCAATCAGAACCAGAAGACGACGAATATGCGCCCCGATCAGCGGTTGAGAACCGTATATTGAACGGCGGATCCAATGGACAAACGCATGCGAAGCCTGGCAACACGCCCGCAGCCTCGGATTCTGTAGCTGCCCGCCTGGACGACTTAAGTCTCAACAGTGAACAGACTCAAGCCAAAAAGATCGGCAAGGCCAAGCTGAAACGGGAAAAGAAGGCTGCTCGACAGGAGGCGCAGCCCCCGGCGTCTGTAAGTCACTCAATCATCGTCCTATGCGAGCCCAATGTTGCTCGCGACTCTGACACGTCGAACCACAGCATATATGCGCCGTTTGCAAAAAAACCTTCACGTCCCGAACCAAACTATTTGACCATATCAAGGACCTTGACCACGCCGCCCTTGTGCCTGTTTCCAGCGCTAAGGCGGGCAAGAAGAAGCGGCGGTGATTCAAACACGCGATAAGCAGATGTCCTGAGCATGTCCCTTCATCTCGAGGATTCGAGATGAAATACATCGTGATGCCACTGCCGTGGTACACTATGGTATAGTCTCGCGACCTCGCTTTCCAATCAAAGAAAGGCAAAGAGGGACCGGCCGAGACCACATGGCTTACGAATACCTCACTCGGCGGTACACTTCTCAACCGGCGGGTCTCGAAAACTTGATACCCAACCCCCCCGAACGCCCAAGTCGCCACGGAGAAGCTGCGCAACACATCCGGCATACACAGCGATAACTGGTACATACGGTGCGCAAATATCCTCGGTACATTCATGTTTCAAGAACCGTGTCCGCATCATCGTCATCATCACTTAGAGTTTGGACTTCGTCGATGGCCTCGGCCCGCCCGGAGCCCATACCTCTCGCTGGGTCGTGCGCCGAGACCGTGATGATTGACTTTCCTTGCACGTGCTTCACAGCGCTCTTCCACGTGTCCCAGTCATCCTCGTTCTTGATCAGGAAGCCGATCAACATGCTGGGGTCCATGTTCTCGACGTGGAGATGCCGCAGCCGCCGGGTGTGGCAGGAGTCCAGCTCCTCTGGCGTATAATCGGCGGGATTCTCGCGGTACGGGAGCGTGGGCCTTGGGTGGTGAGGATCGAGGTAGAATAACCATTGGCCTTGGACGCCGATGAAATAGTGGGATTGTGAAGGGCGGCCCCTAGACGATTGTCAGTGAGCAGGTAAAAGGGACGACATATAGAGCAATGCATTACCCTGCAATACCGATGGACTGCTCCATCTGCAAAGTGGAAATCAAGGCCTCCTCATAGACTTTATTGATTTTGTCGATGCCCAGTCTCGTGCACACTAGAATCAGCGTCGGGTGGAAGGTCTCGCCGTCAGGCATTGCGGTGGCCATGAAGCTGTCTTCGTAAACATCCGGGAGGTCACCTGTCGAATATATCCGTAATGACCGCTCATGCTGCTTTGCCAGATCCCTGCAACTTGTTAGCAACAAGAAGACATGTCCTCAACCAGTCCCCCAAAGTCAGCTTCGCGTTGGTGTGTGACACACCGGATGCACCGCGCTGTGGCCGACGGCCCGAACCACTCCCCCGGGTACTTCCCGCACGCAACCGCCCCGTGTTTAACAAAGTTGTGCAAGGAATAAGGGGCGCGAAGATCATCGGCAAATAAGGCCAGGATTTCGCGCTCTGCATCGGGGTCGGTAGATCGTCGCCAGTCTGTTGCAGTTTCAAGTTAGTGTGAATTTCCAGGCTTGATCGACGGACAATGTAGAGGACGGACGACATACCGCGTCCTAGCCGCGAGATGAGAAGCGCGTTGGCCAGCAGGCTCTGGCCCGACCTGATCATGCAGCCCCATCCCGTGTCGGACGAGAACCCCGTCAGATCCCCAAACGACGTCTTGAGCCGCATGGGCAGCGACAGCGCCGAGGCGGCCTTAGGGTCGGTGGACCGCGGGATCAGCCCGAACCCGGTCCGGTATGTCATCCATATCCGGGACTCAAAATCGTCCAGGAAGGCGGGCGGCCAACCGCTGTCTTGTTGGCTGAGCTCTTCCGAGGAGTAGGCGAGGGAGGAATCGAAGCTGCTTACGACGGAGTCGGGCGGCGTGTCGAGGACCTGCTGCTGCTGATTGCTCGTTGAGCCTGCGGCGGGGATCGGGGTTGGTGTTGTTGTGGCCGTTGTCGCGGCGACGGCATCGACATTGGATTTGGCTGTGGGGATGCTGGCGGTGAATGGTGATGGGGTTCCCGACGATGATGATGCCTTAGGACCGACTGTGTATGAGCGACCCAGGCACCAAACCGGTTCGTTAGGGTTCCGGTTGTTGGTCGGCTCCGGATCCCATATCTTTTGGAAGATGCGGCGGCCTACACGGCTGACTTCGGCACCAGCGGCGATGGCAACCTCCACCGCGCTGGCTAGCTTGGGTGACGTGCCTGAGACGGCCGACTGCCAGCTGCTGTGGCCCTGCCGTTGCGGGCTCATTGGGGTCAGTTCGGCCAAGCCTCTGCTACACAGCAATCCGGTACGGCCTAGGAAAATAGAATCCGTGTTTACTGTGGGTTCGAGATGATGGAATGACCGTTGAGACTCGGGCCGAGCAGAAAGGCGGAACACTCAGCAATGGGCAAATGCAGCTGACGTAAGGGTACTGGTCCGCGGAATTATGGATTGAATAGTAGGGAGATGTAGGGTCCAATAGTGTCCCAACTCTTAAATTGAATGGGTAGGTAGGTAGCGAGATGTCTGGCTGTTCGAGGCCCGTGTTTGGGAGGAATGGAATGCGTCGACTGCCTGCGTACTGTATGGTAAGGCTTGTTTGTGTCTGTGAGCTCGGTATGTCATCTGCCCCATGTAGACCCACCTCTCCGCAGGCTCCCGTTACCCACATGGTCGATCACTTGCTCAGGCTCTGCCTTTGTGGTTAGCGCCTCATTGATTTTACTTGCAGTATTGCCGTACGGTATCGAAATGTCCCTGAAGCGCTTTTTCGGAGCTGTCTGCAGTGCCTGCGAAATAGCCTTTTCAATCCCGTATTACATCGTGGAGTCGGCGGACCTCAACCGATGTACAATACTTGTGATCTTTGAAATTGGAAACGTTTTGGTCTGTAATCATGCTTGCCCGTTGTTGACAAACTTCAGGGCAGCCCTACTGCAAATAAATCGGTTGACTCGAATCTGTGGGGCAACCCTCGGGCAACAGTCATTCTTTCCTTTCCTTGTCAGAGACTTTCCCACTTTGGCCACCCACGATCAAAGAATCATGAAGAATGGGTGATCGCCCAGCTGCTTGACTCTCGACATTCAATTCATCGTCCCGGCTGATGCACAGGTCTTCGCCAATAACAACAAAATTTGTCGGGTCGAAATCAGTACGTTGATTCACACCAGTTCTAGTTCCCGCGCTTTTGCAGGCCACGGCGACATGCCGTCCAAGAGAGGAAAATGGTCCTCTCCTGACGCCAGGAGATCCCGAGGTCGGCCTCCGGCTCCCCGGGGCAGGCTCCGAGATTCCATTCCCGCAGCCCACATGGGTACTGCTTCAAACGGTATGATTGAAATCTGACCATGACGAGCGTCCTCCCGAAGTCTCACCGTCATAGCATTCTCCATGAGAGAGGAGGCCAGGAACACGGCCTCGCACTCATCTTTGGCTTGGATCTCTGGGGATGCGAAATTCCGGCAGAAACCTGTCACTTTCGTGAGCGCCGGGGTCATCGAGCCTCTCAAGGAAGACAAGCCGTTGGACAACTCAGCTGATCCCAGCACGGCTGAGGAATCTACCAGGGATGTCTTGGACGGTGGTGTTATCGAGCCCCTTGAAGAAGAGAAGTCATCAAACGACTCAGCCGATTCCAACACGGCCGAGGAGCCAAGGGGAGATGTATTGGACGCCGTCGGCAAACCCGCTGAGGTGAAGGAAGCCGAGAATTCAAGGTTGGGGACCATCGACGTCTTCGGAACCGAAACGGCTGTTCAAATTCTTGAACAAGAATTCTCGGTTACCGCTCTTCCCCTTCGAGCGCACGGCACCGGCGATTCGGACCTACCGTTATCTGCTCAAGCAAATGAAACGAAGGATTTCTTTTCCATCGACCTCGGACAGGATGATGAGTCCACAATCAATATCCCCCTCCCTCTTCCAAAAATCCCAAGCCCGAGGTCTTCATTTGGCGGGTCGGATTCAAGCGAGGAAGTCATCCTTTACCGAGGCCGGGGCGCCTTTGCTCAAGGAGCTGCCCCGAAGGATGTTTTTACCTACCCCAGCACTGCAGCCATCCCCACAGAGACATCGGTCTCTCAGAGGCCTAGGTCAAACGCGACAACGCCAAACAGCCCTACTTCGCATACCAGTGAGACTCCCGCCCGGGCTTCACGGAAGAAATCAAGAGCTCGGGACAGACGCTCGCAGGTTTCAGAAGCCACGGGGGACGTTGAAGAGGACGACGAGGAGGACGCGATACTGGCTGATTACATTGCCAACATGGCCGAGGACTCGGACAACGACTTCTTGGCCGGTCTGCTTCAATCCTCCTCCAATCAGCGGGATATCGGCGGTGACCAAGAAGCAGTCAACTTTGGGTCCGGAGACGAGAAGTCGCCCAGGGGCGATGACATGTGGGGCGACGAAGAATCCATTACTTCTGGCACTAGCGATGCTGAAGGGGATAATATCAAGAGCGATGATGAGGACGAAGACGTGGATGCGGACATGAACGACGAGACATTGACCCGCCTCCTTGCCAAACAAGAAGAGCTGGGCATGGGGAGTGACGACCTGTTCCTTTTCTCAAGCTCATTCGCCAAAACGGGAACAAGAAAGAAACAGGGAAAACAACCGGTGAAGCCAGGCTCAAGCAGCGCCTTGCGTGGACCCGCCAGCGCTACCCAAGTCGCCGACGCATTCGACAATCTGGATCTTGCCGACTGGAATCAACTCACTTGGCAGTCGCGCAAACGACGTAGCAAGCAGCTTCCCAACTTCAATGTTTCTGATTCGGAGATTGAGGCAGCTTTGAAGACTGCCTGGCAACGGGACAGAGAGAGAAAGAAAAGCCGGAGATTGGAGCGTGAAGCCCTCCGTGCTAAGGGGCTGCTGGGCAAGAATGCGAACCCCGACGACCTGCGTGTTCGATATCCGTCAGGGATGAAGTTGGACGATATCAAAGCCGAGATGACTTCTTTCCTCCTCGGTTCGGTTGAACGGTGAGCACTTACCCGTCCATTATTTATACAAGGAACACTGCAGCAAGCTGACAACTGCTCGCCTAGGCTCGACTTCCCCCCGCTGGACACGCATGCACGAAAGGTCCTTCACGAACTCGCTAACAAGTTCAACATAAAATCGCAATCCACCGGCAAGGGCGATCAGCGCCGTCCCGTCCTCTACCGGACGAACCGAACCGTCCGCTATGCTTCGACCCGAGTCGAAGACGCAACCGCCCATGTGGACCAGGCTGCACTGCGCATCCATCGGAAGTACTTCCACCGCGTTGATGTCAAGGTTCAGAAGACCGAGTCATCCAGAAGTGCGGCTGGAGGTCGGTCCGGGGCCGGGCACAAGGCGCTCACCCTTCGGGAGGGAGAAATCGTGGGAGCGTCGGTTCCGGAACTCGGCCAGGAGAACAAGGGACGCACGATGCTGGAAAAGATGGGCTGGAGCAAGGGAATGGCCTTGGGCTCGCTCAACAACAAGGGCATTCTCGAGCCCGTTGCGCAAGTCATGAAGCGTTCCAAGGCCGGCCTCGGATAAGGGATGTTGTGTTGGGAACGGTCTTGCTGCCAAGGTGTAGGATCATGTTACCACTGAACAGAAGAACCACGAGCTAGTCTTCCACCGAGACCGGTTCTGAATCTTGACCTTGAAGGTTGACCTCGAAGTCATCCGTACAAGCTGAAATTGGTAGTGCCCGTGTCGTGAGGATCGCGTTTTGAGACGCGGTTGACGTGGATCGTCGCGACGACGAGGGTCGCCGTCATTGTCATGGCCCGAATTTCAATCGTGCCATCGCTTTCCACGCTGCCTAGAGCATGTGGTTTGCGCTCGGCAGTTTGGCCGCCATTGAAAGATGTCACAGCTCCAGTGCTTGAATCAGTCACGATTTTCGCCATGATAGCATCGTTCGCACAAATTGTCTTGGTCATATGCACGAGTTCATTTCGCCTGAAACCATGATGTCAAGGCATGTATTGTACAACCGCAAACCCCGTAGCCATGAAAAAACATTGCCCCCAAAAGCCAGACCATCCGTAACGCATTGCATTAAGAGGCTTCCCAAGAGGCGCGTGTGCCGTTGGGCCAAACCTCGTCATGACTCCCAAATGCCAAGCAAAACCCGGTGCCCTATGAGAAAAACGCAAGAAAAAAAAAAAAAAAAAAAAGCAAAACCCCGAAGAGCCGCACTCATTTCGTGCTCGACGAATACTTGGTGACGGCCTTGGTGCCTTCCGACACGGCGTGCTTGGCCAGCTCACCGGGCAGGATGAGGCGGACGGATGTCTGGATCTCGCGCGACGAAATGGTCGACTTCTTGTTGTAGGCGGCAAGCTTGGAAGCCTCGGTGGCCACGCGCTCGAAGATATCTGACGGAGAAACGCGTCAGAGAACTGAAAACGGGTGACACAGGAGACCATGAGGGAACTAACCGTTAACGAACGAGTTGAGGATAGACATGGCACGGTTGGAGATACCGGTGTCGGGGTGGACCTGCTTCAGGACTGAAGTGCTCCGTTAGCGACCGATCGGTGCGAATGCAAAGCGCGTCCAGAACTCACCCTTGTAGATGTAGGAGGAGTAAGTCTCCTTGCGGGCCTTAGTCCGCTTCTTCTTGTCGCCCGAGGGCGCGGTCTTCTTGCCAGCATCCTTCTTCTCCACCGGGGCCTTGGAGGCGCTCGCGGGGGCCTTGCTGGCGGGCTTCTTGTCGGCGGCCTTGGGGGGCATTTTGTAGGTCTGGAAATCGGTTGAGAATAAAGAGTATGTGATGTGGTTTGATGGGTTTGGATGGACTTGACAATGGTTTGCGCGTGGTGGGTGCAGAAGAAAGAGTTGGATGATGGAGGAACGAGGAAGTTGGCGAGGGGCGGTGGCCTTTTTGTAGCTGGACGCGACTGGCAGGAGCGGGCCTGCTGATTTGGGGACCGCGAGGGAAAGTGGGGCAAGCCTTGCCGGCGCCGTGATTTTAGCGAAAAATACCGCCAGAAAAAGGTGACGAGGTGACGCGATGGCCCAAGCGCCACAACACGTCCAAAAACGGAAGTGAACCCTCAGGTTGCCTCGTTACCATTCCAACAAAACGGCCCAATCGGTGGCTTCCCGAGTGACAGAAGCAAATGCTGAGAATCGACATCAGACTGCATCCAGCGGGACCGCAGTATGTTGCAGATCCCACCTTACAACGGACACTCGAGCAATCTCCCTCCAAGTCACCACGGCCACAGCCAGCACAGTGACCAGCGCGAATCTCCCCAGACTAGCAGAAGATAAAACGTCGCCATGAGAAGGCTAGGCACGATGAAAGTGCCTGAGCAACCATGGTTGACCAGATGACCAAAGGCCAAGACGGTAAGTGCTGTCCCACAGCCTGAGACGCCAGACTGCGGTGCGTTGCGCCGGGGCGCGAAGAATCTACCCAGGTACATCCGTAGGGCTTAGACAGACAGATATGGAAACATTGTGCAAAAAGACATTCCGTGGGGAGGCGTATCACCACCGCTCAGCCTTACCGTCTCCAGGGGACACTCCTCACCTCGATTAGTCCGTGGAGTCTCAAACACATCCCCGACTCACCATCTGCGGGCTCCTAAGACCTGGGGAAGAGGCACCAGGCGGCCGGTGTCACGTCACAGGCCGGCGAGACGTGCCGGCGCGGCGGGAAGAGCCGCATGGAGAGGCACCCCATACACTCCGGATCTGCCTGTGCGTGCTTCCGAGGTGCAGAGGCCCAGTTCTTACTTGCAGGGCAGGGTTTCACTCGCTTTGGGACGCACAATGGGGCCAAGGACTAGTTTGAAACTACTTTTAACCTGGGGGGCCGGGTATCGATGCCGGATGCTAGATAACTCCGAATTCTGAAACCCCCCCAGTGCCCCAACACCGTATGTTGACCATCTTTTACCTTCAACGAAAGGCTCCTGGACCATTCCCTTGAGGCTCATGTTCAAACTCGACCCAACTTGGACCAGTTTACCCAAACACTACAAGGCTCGGGTACCATGGACCAAAAGAGGTGGAGGATATGTGAACTGCCTTCAAAAAAGAAGGCTAATCAGACAAGCCAAGTCGAAACTCCGACTGCTGGACCGGAAAACTGCGAGTTCTGCCACTCCAGAAGCGAAGGATATGGGAGTCGGAGGACAAGTCGCAATTCATATTCGGGAGCGCGTCAGGCCACATCCAACGGTCTACCATGGCCCATAAAGGACGAAAACGCGACTTGGTTGAGCATGAGCCAATTCAAGCTGCAAATGCTTGGCATATGGGCATCGCGTCGAGGCATGAGGTCGAAGAGGCTTGGTTGAGTCAAGAGACTAGATCAAATCAGTCGGCCATCAGCCCTTGGTGACTGTGGTTGAACGGTGCTGGTGTGATTGTGTTGTGAAAGCAGCCATGCTTTCTGACCATGATTGTTTTGATGGAGCGTGGCTGGGACTGGCAAGGCAAAGATTTGAAAAGGCCGGCGCATTCGAGTGAAAAGCCGCCGGGTTTGTTTTTTGGCCATGAGCGAGAAAATGCTGCCCTTGATTTTCGCGTTGGGAGGGGCCATTGACTTTTAAAGGATTTGGCCGGATCATGTCTGCCAATCATGACATTGCATTATTCTGACGGTATTTTCAAGCGGGCGCGATTGCGCGCCATACACCCACCCGTTTTGGGACTAGCTCCACAGCGTCCGATCAACAACCAAGAAAGGCGCGAGGTGATCCGTGATCTTGCCCTCTTACGCGAAAACTACTTAATTTGCATCTCCCCCGCCAACGCTCGTCTCTCAACTCTCCATCAACAAACTTCTGCTCTTCCATCGATTACTACCACCCACACGTCGGGATACCCTCGCCTCAATCACACTCTCAATCTACCCTTTTTCCAAAACAACAACATCCATCAAAATGACTGGCGGCGGCAAGTCCGGTGGCAAGGCTAGCGGCTCCAAGAACGCGCAATCGTGAGTTTCCTCTCTTTTTGCGCCTCAGCCGACTGCACCATCCACTCGTGACTCCTGAGTCATCAGCACCTTTCGGACGCGTCCATCCTTCACGCACAAATTGCTAACTCCTTCCAGCCGTTCCTCCAAGGCCGGTCTGGCTTTCCCCGTCGGCCGTGTCCACCGTCTCCTCCGGAAGGGTAACTACGCTCAGCGTGTCGGTGCCGGCGCACCCGTCTACCTGGCCGCCGTTCTCGAGTACCTCGCTGCTGAGATTCTCGAGCTCGCTGGCAACGCTGCGCGCGACAACAAGAAAACCCGTATCATTCCCCGCCACCTCCAGCTCGCCATCCGGAACGATGAGGAGTTGAACAAGCTGCTCGGCCACGTCACCATTGCCCAGGGCGGTGTCCTTCCCAACATTCACCAGAGTACGTTTCCTTCCGCCCGTCCATCTTTGTCTTGGCTCAACGCGGCTCTAACATTCTTCTCTCTAGACCTTCTGCCCAAGAAGACAGGCAAGACTGGCAAGAACTTGTCTCAGGAGCTTTGATTTTTTTCGGGTTTGGTTCTTTGCTTTTTCTCTGGTCGGTACGTTGGGTTCATGATATTGGGGTCACGGTCTCGGGTCATCGGTTGCGTTTTCGCGGTTCTCGCGTGTTTGGGCTGTACATTAATTCCATGATGGGCATGGTCATGGTCATGAATGAGAATATCCTCCGAACATCCACTTCTGGTTTTCAATTGCGGCATCAACCGGGCTTGTGTCTGCCGCAAAAAATGACAACAGTGTGTGTCCCGTGAGCTGTCCCAAAGTCTCAGACTGGACTTGTGCCCACGATCTATGGATGAGGATATTGCGTTGAAGGTCGAGCGTCAAGAATCACGAAATAGGGCAGAAGATGCAATCTCAAAATCTTCTATCCCATATTGACCTCTAAACCATATGCACAGCCCAAACCCAGCTCGCAAATAATCATCAGAACTTGAGCGGCGGGGGAGCTGGGAAAACTCGTGTCAGCCGGTGTTTCAGGTGGATTTCAAAGCGGCAGGGACAGGACTTACGATCTAAATGAGGAACGGGGAGGTTTCTCTCGTACTTGGAGCCTGCGCAATTCATTTGTGAGCTATGCCCACCAGGGCGACCAATGCATGACATGAGGATGCACAGCGAGATTATGGGGGAACTGCGCACCTCCAGGAGCAGTCGGATGGCAGTAAGGATCCGGGTGCTTCCATTTCTCCAGCAGATTCTCCGTCTCCTTCAACAGCGCCTGCAAGACACGTTTCCAATGTCAGCCTCCTTCCAGGTATGCAAATTCAACCTTCCACCTCCCTTTGAAGAGAGAGCAATGAGTGTGGAGTGGTGGGAGCGCACCCGTTGTAATCTCGGATCGGTGACATTCCGCTTCGCCTCAAACAGAGAGCGGATGTAGAGCGCCTGGCCACGCCAGAGGTGGCGGTGGACTGACCAGTCGAGGGCAAGCTTCAGACAGCGGCGATAGAGGGATCTGGTTGTCTATTGTGTGAGCAATTGGTCGGTGCCTTGTTGTGGGCTTTGAAAAGCCGGGTGAGACTGACAGCGCTGCCTGCCTTGATGACATGATGGGCGGTTTGTGAAGGTGTAGTAGGATGGGCCCGCGTCGCGGTCTGGTGTCGCGGGTCTGAGCCCTTCGATGGCTGGGTAGGATGTGTCGGTTCGTATGAGCGGGACACCAGTTCGCAACAGTGCCCGCCGAATTGCTGAAGTGGTGGCGCTGGGTATCTGGCAAGTGTTGTCGCGACTTTTTGGATCCTTGCTCTCCTTGGATGAGCTCAATTGCGGCAGCGGATTGGAGAGCTCCAGCTTGCAGTTGCTGCCTGAGGCTTCACTTTTCGGCCAAGACGAGAGGTTCCGTTTTAGCGAGGTCTTCCACGAGAGAAGTCACGAGACCGGCGGAGCAATCAGCACCGATTCATTATCGTTATATCGGAGGATACAAGCTCGGTACACCGCAGTTCCGCCAATCCTCGCTCCAGTTCCGTTCCATGTTGCCGAGCCCTGCGTTATCCGTGTATCGTTGGACTTGGCAACTCTGCAAGGTACCTGAATCCTTGAGCCCAAACAGCTTGCAAGGTGAGGTCACCAGGCCAGTGGTGCGCGATTGAACCATTGCGCCGGCAGCGCCGCTGGCCAACACCCCTGGCACAATGTGAGGCCGGGATTCTGTTTCGCCAACGAGCTCCTGTTGCTACTTTTTTTCTCACCTGACGATCTTGTAACGGCGTCTTTTAAACCGGTCTTGTCTCGTGCTTTTCTCCGTTTTCTTTTGGTATTCAGGTCGAATTGACTTCCTCTCGCAGGATCAATTTGTTCTTGTTTTTACCCCATTGCTAGCCTGGAGCGCCGTTCTTGCTTCTTGCGCACTTGGCGGCAGCCGTTCTCGAAGTTGCGGCAGATCTTGACACCGAGCTCTCCACCACGAATTCCCGCAACAAACCTGCAGCAAGTTAGCAACAGACTTTGCTTGGCCAACAACCGCCAGAATGATGTATCGCGGCCTCCGTCTTGCGGCCCGCGCCGCTCACAAACTCTCGCTCTATAACACCAGCTCCGCACTGCGTCAGATCCCCGTGCAATTCCAGCATGTACGGACCTACGCCGACAAGATCATCAAGGTGCCGGCAATGGCCGAGTCGATCAGCGAAGGCACGTTGAAGCAGTGGAACAAGGCTGTTGGCGACTTTGTCGAGCAGGATGAAGAAATTGCAACCATCGAGACCGACAAGGTGTGTGGCTCCTCCCCCCCCTCCATGGCCAACACGGCTACCCATCGCCCGGCCTAGCACTTACACGCGTTGGCCAAAAAAAAAAGATTGATGTGGCTGTGAACGCCCCGGAAGCCGGCGTCATCAAGGAATTCTTGGCCAACGAAGAGGACACCGTTACCGTCGGTCAGGACCTCGTGCGCATTGAGCTCGGCGGTGCGCCTTCGGCTGATAAGCCGGCCGCGGAGGCGCCCAAGGAAACGCCCAAGGAGCCGACGTCCGAGCCGCAACCCGAACAAAAGGCTCCGGAACCCAAGCCGCAGGAGACGAAGCCTCAAGAGACCAAGGCGGCGCCGCCACCGCCGGCGAAGGAAGAGGCTCACACAAAGATGCCGACAAAACCGGCCGAGACCGCCACCCTGGGCAGCCGGGAAGAGAAGAGGGTACGTCCGTTGGCGAGGCTCGCGTTTTCTTCGCGTACATGTCGCACTGATAGGTCCTTGCAGGTCAAGATGAACCGGATGCGCCTGCGCATCGCGGAGCGTTTGAAGCAGTCGCAGAACACGGCCGCGTCGCTGACCACGTTCAATGAGGTTGACATGTCCGAGCTGATGGCGTTCCGCAGCAAGTACAAGGACGAGATCCTCAAGAAGACGGGCGTGAAGTTGGGCTTCATGAGCGCCTTCTCCCGCGCCTGCGTGCTCGCCATGCGCGACCTCCCCATCGTCAACGCCTCGATCGAGGGCCCCAACGGCGGCGACACCATTGTGTACCGCGACTACGTCGACATCAGCGTTGCTGTCGCCACCGAGAAGGGCCTTGTCACCCCTGTCGTCCGCAACGTCGAGGCCCTGGACCTGGTCGGCATTGAGAAGGCTATCGCCGATATGGGCAAGAAGGTATGTGGTCCGCAAATTCCACCGCAAACTAGCATGCCCGGCTCTCTGACACGCAGGGATCTACAGGCTCGTGACGGCAAGCTCACGATTGAAGACATGGCCGGCGGCACTTTCACCATCAGCAACGGAGGCGTCTTTGGCTCGCTGATGGGCACCCCCATCATCAACCTCCCGCAGACGGCTGTGCTCGGCCTCCACGCCATCAAGGACCGGCCTGTCGCCGTCAACGGCAAGTTGGAGATCCGGCCCATGATGTACCTTGCCCTCACCTACGACCACCGTCTGCTGGATGGCAGAGAGGCCGTGCAATTCCTGATCAAGGTCAAGGAGTATATTGAGGACCCGCGCAAGATGCTCCTGTGAGCGGTGGTTTCGAGCCTGGGTCTCGTTGGGTGAGGGGATGCCAGGGTAAACTGGCTGTCGGTGATGGAGAGAGGGAGCGGTGATATGATCGCCTGTATAATATTGGAAGGCCGAGGTGGCTTTTCCCTTTTGTTACATTGCATCCTGGGGGGGCGTTTCCCACTAAATTAGACATGGGCGTGTTCTTGTACTTCTCACGCCGTCGCAAATGGCATTGTTGGTGCCGCTGAGACGTTGGGGACGGAATGAGTGTTCTCCGTTTTGCTATCTGGTATCCCACCTCGGGTGCACAGCAGAACCCTTGATTTGTTCGTTAGCGTGGCACATGGCGGGGCACTAGACATGGGTGGGATAAAAGAAAGGAAGGTAAGAGGTTGAGAAGAAGATGGAAAGTAAAGACACAAAGTAAGAGGAGGGGGAAGAGAACGATAAGAGAGAACGAGGAAGATAAAGATGAAGACAGAAGGGAGGGAGGAAAGAAAGAAAACAAGAAAGAGAAAGAATATCAAATAGTCAAAGTGAAGGAAGATAACCTGTATTACCCATCCGTATCACCGAAGTTCCGCGCTAACAACACAGAGTTATATTGTATCTGTGGTGGCTCAAGACTGTACACAATGTGAAGAGGCTCCATGTGTTACGGCATGTGTGATTATGGCATGGTACATGAGTGCGTTCCTGTCGTCTTCAAGGGATGCAGTGTCTGGCTGTTCAGGTTGCAACTCCCATCTTGGCCGCCCACATAATACATTTAGCTTCCATTGGCGGGGGAGGACTATGTAGCTGGGCTGATTCGGAGCCGCGGTTCAGCGGCTGGTCTTTCGGGTCGTTCGAGTATCTTCAGCTCCCCGTTTCATCTGTATGGCAAGTACCACTGGTGACGATCTCCCCTCGTCTGCAAGCCATCGACAATCAACATCTAATTAACGGAGACCCAACATGCTGAGAACCAAGCCTCTGGCTCCCAGTTCCAATATTGATACGGACCCGAAGAAATGTGCGAGACAGGAAGGAGTGATTAGACCACGGCTCGCTAATATATCGTCGTAGTCTTCACCGGAGAGAACGACCGACTCCAAAAAAATTATTTACATAACGTTATATAGTATAGGGCTTCAGTGAGATATGATGGATCTTTGGCGCACTACGTAGTAGCATCACGGCGGACCTTGTATCGTACGGTGTGCCCGCAGTAGGTATATAATACGTGTTGACGGCGTTCCAGGATACTCCGTCAATGGCAGTTTGTTTTCAAACGGAAATCAAATCAGTAGCACAACGCATTCAATACGGGAGTTTGCCTGTGTTGCCCTCTTAGATCATTCCCGCGTCGCAATCCACAGGGGCTGCTGTCGACAGGCGATCAAGCTGCTCTTGGGTCCATGTCGAACTTGACTTCCTGTGTGTTCTTTCTGTGTTTGTACCAAATGCCGAGTCTCGCGCATACCTTGCGGCTCTATATAAGAGCGGGTGTTTGTATCCATGTGCTTCTAGCGTAGGTCACCCATTTCATATGGAGCCATGCCGAGTGCGACAACTTACACGGCCACTGGAAAGGATGGGAGACGCAACTTAGTGTTCTCAGTTTATGCCTATGCCGCCCTAGTGCAAGCAACAAGACTCGTTCTTGCCCAGCCGGGAGAGTACCTCGATGATCAGCAATCTACCTCACGTAGACCTGGGGGGGCCTATGGGATACAATATAGTCAAGGCAAGGCAAGGAGTACTGTGTCAACTATATCGGGCATATAGCGGTAGGAAGACGTTTCTAGCTCGGAAATACTGTTCCAGTAACCGAGGTACTAAGTTGGGCTAGCACAAGCAGTCACATTTATGCTCGGTCAAGCATGTGGTTCACATTACAATTGATAATACCTTTCTTTGATTTATTATTCGCACAACTATTCTTTAGGTGGCCGAAACTGGGTAACACTGTCCACACGTCATTGTAAGCTAGGCTTCCTACTATCTACAGCTACTACATTGGCAGTTCTCTCCGTGGCAGCTAGCTCAGCGGGTGGCCCGATCTGCTCAACAAACTCCCTAGTCTCAGCAAACGAGCCCGTCTCGTACACCAACCCCGCCATGTCGAGGCTACCAAAGTGACTCTGCAGGAGGCAAAAAAGCTTTGTCAGTGCACATCAAAAGGCCAGGAAGCAATCGCACAAGAGTGATGACGTTACAAGCAAGTAAAAGTGGAACGTACCCTTGACACGGCGGGTATCTTCTTAACCCACCCCATGGCCCTCGAACAGTCAGCCCACGCGACGACAACATGTTCCTCATCGTTCAGGTTCATAAACGACATGGCGAACGAATCCGACTTGGCGGTGAGCTCCTTGGTCGACGCGATTCGCCAAACATCCATGGGGCTGGAGTTGAGATTCGACACCTGAAACACATGCCCCTTGTCGTTGACCAACACAAGCTCCCTCCCCGAGGGCGAAAAGGAAGCACATTGAATGCGGTTTCCAAGCTTGCTGCTGTGGTGCCGCCCACCACCACCAACCCCACCCCCGGAGAGGCCGTCCGTCTTGATCTCGCTCCTGTGCCCGTCCTGGGGCTGGATCAGCACCGGCGTGCCGGACTGTGTCCATGTGGTGATGCAGACCAGATTGTCTTGGCCGTCAACGACGCCGGGGCGGAAGATGGCCGACGAGACGCCGTTGTCCTCAGACTCGTGGAGCGGAACTGAGTACCGGCAGGCAACGAGTTCCTGGAAGGTGTGAAATGGGAACCGCCACGAGTAGATTTGAATCAGGCCTGTTTTGGGGCTGCGGGTGCTTGCGAGGAGGACGAGCCCGTCGTCGGAGAAGGCTAGTGTATCTACGGACGGACAGCGTCTGCAGTCGTGTTGCTGGTAGAGGGCGTGGAGCCGGTCTTCGCGCGGCTGTTCCAAATTCCTCGCGTTGAAGAAGCGGACGGTGGCGTTTTCGAAGCCAACCACGACGTAGTTTTCCTGCCGGTCGATTGCTATGCTCTTGCACCATAGCGATGATGGGATCCGGTACTCGACCACGGGCGTCATTGGCTGCACCAGGTTCACGACGCGCAACGTGAGTTTCTGGTCCCTTGTCCCGATGATATAGGCCAAGTGAACCTTGGCTACCGCTGCCAGAATGCAGGTGCTTTCTGGCAGGATGGCTCGCATCAAGGTGGGCGGTGACGTTCCAACGTCCCACACATGGATGAGGAGCTGCGTCCAAAAGAGAGCGAATGCCGAGTTGTGAGATAGGTAGACGTTGATGTTCTTGGATGGCTTCCCTCTTGCGTGGGACTTTTGTGTGTTGAGAAGGCCAGAGAGGGGTACCTCTTCCAGTTTCTGAGACTCCAACGTTGTCGAGGACAGGGAACTGGAGTCACCGGAAGGCCCGACGGGGGCTTTTTTCGATGCAGTAAATTTCAATCTCCATCTGGACTTTCCCTTCTCGATGGACGTGACCGCAGGGATTGACCGGGGGGTATGAATCGCATGGACGTCCTCCGGTCCTGTTTGTCTGCGCAAGACAGGCGAGTCGCGCGGGAAAGGAGGCGGGTCTGTCAAGAACGCAGGGTCCGGATGAGCAAGAGTGTGTTCCGTTTCTTCCAAGGTCTTCTTCCTTTGATCATTGGATATATCGGGACGCGACGGTTCATTTCGCAGGGGAATGGTGGACTGGTAGGGGCTGGGCGACTGCGGAGACACGGGTCCTGGATAGCCCGGGCTGTTCACGTCACCACTGAACGTCGGGCTTGGAAATCCTGATTTCACTGGGAAGGACGTGGCAAATACTTGTTGAGGCTCGCGAGGTCTCTCGCTGCCGGCGCTGCTGTAGCCCGGCGGAAGCAGCCCGCTTACTTCTGGCCTTGGCGGGCCCAACTGGAACTGCGTCGGCAGGTGCCGTTCTACATGGATGGTATCGGCATCGGGGCGAAGAGGGTCGAGCAGCTCCCAGGTCTGCCTTGCTGTCGGCACCTCGCGAGCAAGTGTGATTGCCTCGCCGCAGTACAAACAGCTCGACTTGGGCGGGAGGCTGACTTCGGGAGTGCTTGCGGGATCCGGCTTTGGAAACAGCACAATTAGCCCACACCTGAAATGCCCTGCCAGCTGGGGAGTCAAGGAGAAGAACACATACCGGCAGTTGAATGCCGGAGGCTTTGAGCTGCGATGCCCCAGCTAAATGACATTCTGGACAATTGACTACGAAAAGCCCCGGACGCATGGGAGCAAAGCGACCGCTGGGCTCATCCTGCAGGAGAATATTTCTGAGCACCTGCGACGTATTGTGCGCCATTTCCCGGTCGCTGACGCGATGTATGACCTGGCGCTCCTTGAGCCTCGTGCACAGGGCGTCGAGTGCATCCAACTCGCACTCGTCTACCCGGGGCCCAGCCACGTCTGGGCGGGAGAGATACAGGGTGTCCGGGAGTATGATGCGGAATGAGCTGCTGAAGGCTGCAACCATGTCAACCCTGGAGAGGTGGGGAGGGATGCGTAGGTTGTCTAGTGCAGACAGGACGGCGTTTCGTGACCTGGCAGAGCAGGCCTGGAGTCGCATATCGTGCGTTTCCCCGTTGGCAGCGTATTGAACGGACGCGGCAACCACGTATTGCGATACGTCTCGAAGAGTCAAGAACTGGGCTAGCCAATTGCCGAATCCATTCGGAGGGGTAAGCTCGGAGATGGACGCGCCCTGCAGACAAGGAGGCAAGGGGTACTAGGCGGATATCAGTCCACAAACAACCCTAGGTATCGGTGTGTACGCGAACTAGCTACGATGAGGGGGGGGGAGAAGCAGGGGCAATGAGAGCGAAACATAGGGATGATACGTACCAGCTCCGACATCAAAGTAGGAAGCGTGGACCGGAGCCCCGAGGGCAGGGCGAGGGCGTCTGGGTCAGCATGAAGCTGACCAGTTACCTCTTTGCATACCTCGAGCAGAAACGACTTGGGCCCTGGGTAGCTATCAAAAATCTGCTCCAAGGAACCATGGATGCGGGAAAAGCGCTCGCGACGGTCCCTTGCGCGCTGGTTTGTTGGCGCCTTTGGGTGAAGGGCGAGGACGCGGAGAGCAGATAGAAGAAACTCAGCCAGGTAGCGGTCACGCAGCTGGCTATGTTCCCAGAGGCACTCTCGGCTTTCGACAACGGTCTGAAGGACGAACTCGACCGAGCGCAAGGCAACCTCCCAACTCACGAGAAAGCCGAGGTACCAACCAAGGTGGGTGTTGTCGGCGGGGATTGTCAACCGCTGGAGATCGAAAACGGCCTTGAGCTGGGAGAGCAGGGCGATGACGAGGTTCTGGTACTCGTCCCGATCGGCGGCACCGGCGTAGATCTTTTCGAGCGAGAAGCGGCCCAGCAGCTCCAGCAGGATGTCGTCAACGTCGCTGCGGAGGGCGAGATGTCTCCATGTGTTAACCAGTCGCAAGAAGAGCGACGACGGCGATGGAGCGGCCATGTCATGCGACACCCTGTTCCCCTGCCGTTATCGATTGTGGGCTGTTTGTTGGCGGCGCCGCCTCACGGGGAAGGCCGGCCACCACCGGCGCAGGGCGCACGGGCACTATGGTGTATCCAGTCCGAGTCCCCGTCTTTTCTCGTGACCGTGTTCCTTTCCCTCGTCTGATGTTTGTTTTATTGTAACCTTCCCCGGTTGCTGATCGGGCAGGCGGCGAGCGAAAGTGACGGCCCCTGTGGGGCAAACTCGATCGATCCGCGTAAGAGGGGTACTCGCTAGTACTGCGAGAACGCAAAGTGGTGTGTGGTGGACGGGCAAGCGAATGACATGCGCAATTGCGATGGCAAGAAAATGTCCTAAGCTTCCGGAATGTGTCTCGTTGGATGGAATGGAATCATGCGCCTACCGGCAAGCTCTGCCGGGTCGAGCAACGACGCGAGCTTGCATCACCCATAATAACTCGCATGTGTTCCGCCCTCCCCACCCTCTGCTTCCTGATGAACACGGAGCTCAGCCAAGTGATAGGCACAAGTCCAGATATGGGGCAATTGCCCAGTCATTGTCAGCCGCTGCTGCTTGGCCATTGGCCAGCGTGGTTGAGCGTGTACTGCCCAGGCCGGCGGTGTGCGACAGAATACCATACCTCTCATGAGCTGCACATCTCGGTACGCAAATGTCTTGAGCTTATCGATGCGCGCGAGCGAGAGACATGTGGCGGTGCCCTGCAGGTCGGCGACATAATGTCCCCCGTCCATTCCCCTTTCCTCGGGGGCCGCGTGCTTGCCTGCTAGACCTGGTAAATTTCATCTCGTAGAGGATGGACTTCTGCGTGGCTTCAGGTGGGGGGTGGTTTTCGATGTGATCCTCAAGGGTAGCCGATAGGTTGGTCCAAGACTCCAAGCCGTCACCAAAAATAAGGTTACACCCCGCAGCAGTGCAAGTGGAGAAATTTCATAGGGTGCGGGAGGCACGGAACGAGTGGCTTGGATCGCAAATCTTTTTGCCAGTCGATGTGGGGCCACTGTCCCCAGGCGGGCCACGGTGGCTTGCGGGGCCGGCAAGGAAAACTCGAGAACTTCCAGGTTGCTGCTTCCTTTACAGTGGCCTGGCCCTTTTTTTGAAGTGGGACGGCAGAAATCGATGCAACTTGGCTACTCCGTGGCTTCACAAATTGCGCCGACGGTAACACGAGCATGCATATCCAAAACAATAGATGCGATACTTGCGACACCCCAAGACAAGCTTCCCCTCTCGTCCACGGGAGCCTGGCTGTCTTTTCGCCAATCCAAGCGTAGGCCATGTGTGAGACACGCAGGCGTTTCTCGTCGACCATATTGGACCATTGCACGACGATCCCAGCAGCTTTCGACCCGACATGCTCAGGTCATGGGCAGTACTGAAGCTTTGCAAGGTGCAAACACCATGGCTCTGTCCAGCCAAGTGCCCGGCTACTCCCAGCTGCTCCCCGCGTGCCGTAGCATTGGCGAACTAATGCGGCTCTTTTGGTACCGACAACAGACGGAGGGGTAAGAATGGAGCATCGTTCGGCCGAGCCAAGTCTCCTGTCCCTGAGTGAGGCACACCGGCAGCTGTTGCTCGCCACACCTATCCGTAGGAAACCAGAGACAGGGAGCCGAGCTGAGAACGGCAACCAACCCAGCTCCCGCGTGGCTGGTGAAACTGGGCATGGAATCTGTGTTGACTGATTAGCTGGTATTTTTACCAGGGCCGATCGCGATGCACCACTGCAGGGGATTTGTCGGCACGGTACAGCGCCTCGAGCCCGGTAACAGAGCTAGTCGAGGATGGTAGATGTATCCATCATATATGGCCCCCAGCTCTGCCCTACCAGGCCACCTGACCGATGCTGCTTCCCCTTCCTGTAGCTGATGCTTCGCCGATATTTCTCGATAGTGGTACCTACGGCAGAGCGGCACCATGGACTATGAAAAGCCAGAGGCGCTGAATCCACAAATCTATCATCATACCGTTACCGGCCATCAGAGTCCGCAGCCAGATGGCGAGGCTACGCTTCACAACTTTGATGAGCCGGCTGCTCCCGAGGGCAGGCGCGAGCTCCGTGGTGACAGCCTTTGGCGAGTCCTCCATGAGCGGCACATCAATGTATGGACAGCTGTTACCTCTCCCGCGTCACGAGTATACATGAGCCATCACTGACTCATCTTTGCCGGTTTAAGATGATCGCCTTCTCTGGGTAAGGGCTCCATGAAACGAACATAAACACACACACCCTTGGTCGCTTCTCGCTGACTGTCCACAACTAGCACCATCGGGAATGGTACGGCTCTACACGCTTTACATCAGCACTGAAAGATCACTCTTCGGGACAACTGCTGATGCAGCCTTCACACAGGGCTGTTTTTGGGTTGCGGAAGATCGTTGGCCAGCGCCGGACCTGGTGGTGCCGTCGTGGCCTATATACTCATGGGAACTGGTGGGCAATTTCACTCTCGGGTGAAGGTCGACCAGGACAAAAACAGCTGACGGAGGCTCCGATGCAGTCATATCGTCCGTCATTAGCTGTTTGGGCGAAATGACGGCCCTGATGCCTGTCAACGCCCCAGTCATGGAGTTCCCCCGCCGCTTTGTTAGCCGCGGAGTCGGCTTTGCCGTCGGTTGGATATACTGGTCAGATGCCCTCAATCCCCATAAGTACCGTCCTCATGGACCAAGGCATACTGACATTTAGGGTGCTCAAGGTTTGCCTATGCCGTCCTTGCGGGGGAACAGCTAGTCGCTGTGTCCAACGCCATCAAGTTCCGGTACGACGACGGCAAGACCCTCCTGAACTGGGAAGTTGGCGAACGTGTCGACAATGCCGTGTGGATCTCGGTCTTCCTGGTCCTCGTCGTGACCTTCAACATGTTCCCTGTTCGGGTGTTTGGCGAACTGGAGTACATATTTGGATGCCTCAAACTTGTCTTTATCACTACCCTCATCATGGTCTGTGGTCCCTCCGCGGCCTTCCCGTCACTCTATGGCCGCGCCTTGCTAACGGCAGACGATGCCAGATGATGTTTCTGCTGTCCGTCATCCGACGTCGGTTGCCCTCCTTTCCACTCACCATGTTACAACTCTGTTGGCTAACAACCTCCCGCTGTACAGCCCGTGGGGATGCGTATTATACAGAGCCATTGGGAACTCGCTGTATGTCCAAGGGATTGTATCACCGGACCACGCCTTGCATTATCGCTGACAGGTGTATACTTTTCATCAAGTTTGGAATGACCCTTATTCATTCTTCAATTCGGTCTACAACGCCAGAACCGAGAATGGCAAGATCAGCCACGTCATGACCGGCTCGCTTGGCACTCTCCTCGGTGTCTGGACGACATTCACCGGCGTCCTATTCTCCTACATCGGAATGGATATCGTCGCCGCCACCGCAGCCGAGAGCCGAGCACTCGCCGACGTGGAGAGCATGAAGATGGCAGCACGCAAGATTAACCTGCGCATCATCACGCTCTACACACTCGCGGTCCTGACGGCGTCCTTCGTCGTGCCGACCGACCACCCCTTCATCAACGGCCACGCCACGTCCGTGAGTGCCCGCTCCGTCTTCATCATCGCCGCCGTCGAGGCGGGTCTGCCCAAGGCGGCCCACTTCTTCAATGCCGTCTTCTGCTTTTCGGCGTTTACGTGCGGCATCAACTCCATGTACATCGCCACGAGGGTTCTCCATACCTTGGCCCTGCGGGGGCAGACGGGTCCCGAGTTCATCACGAGGCGCCTGCGGGCTTGCCGCTCGGGCGTTCCTGTAAGGGCCGTACTGGCCACGGGCGCTCTGATGATGGTGGCATACATGGGTCGCACTGGTGATCCTGGCGCTGTAAGCTGCCTTGCAGTTACACTCGGTTGGAGGTTGCTGACACATGGCACAGCGACTTGACGAGCTCGCAAACAACTGCACCGTGTCATGCCTCGTAGTCTACGCGACCATTTGTGCAACATATCTGTACTTCTTCAGAACGTACGTCGTCTGTTGTCTTTCTTCTATCCCTGGCGGCCCAGCCCACATCTAATGTTAGATCAATGTCAACTGACCCCTCTATAGGCTTGAGGACGCTAAGCTATATGGAAACATGTCGGAGTCGCAGGCAGCGAGCTACGACCGCGACCATCCTTTGTACCCATACAAGTCCCACGGCCAGTGGCTGAAGGGCTGCTACGGCCTGGTGGCCTGCATCATCTTGATTCTTTTCAACGGCGTTGGTGCGTTTATTGAGCCTTTCAACATTCGCAAGTTTGTATCTGCGTACATCAGTGCAAGTCCAATCTCTTCCAAACTAAGGGTTGAGGACACACCTTCAGGCTAACGTAGAATTCCTATGAGCAGTTGCCAACCTTCTTGATACTCATCCTAGGATACAACCTCCGCAAGCACGGCTTGAGGTTCCCGGACTGGTGGGCAGATAAATCCGGTGATCTGAGCAACACCGTCCAGGCGTCGAGCCTCCGGCGGAAGGGGAGGCTGGAGTTTCCAGATAATGGCTTTACGAGGGAAAACGTGCTGACCTTCCTGGGATGGATTTGGGTGTGGTGTAAGTAATCACTGGTTATTGGGTTCCACTAGTTATTTTCTCAGTCTATGCTACCTGATGTTTGCGTTGGCAACAATATGCTTGCCGATGTGATATCCCCAAGACCTCAATGCACAGTATTCTGCGTGTACTTCGCAGTACTATCTGTATTGTACGCCCCGTTGCCTGCAGCTGTCCGACTAGAGTGGGGAGTGTCTGCCCAAGCTGCGTATTATCAGAAACTGTTACCGCAGTCTATCTTATGCAGTAAGAGCAAGCCTCGCCAAGATAACGTCTTGAGCGTAGGCTGTAAGTTCTCGAGCTACGTCTTTAACAATCAAGCCTGCCTGTACCTGGCGGAATAGAGCCTAGGATGTAGCTTAGCCTGAATAAAACTGTCATTGGACTACCAGTCTGTCCCACTTGTGACATTACGTAGCTTCCTCCCACGAGCCGACCGTCTCCAATACGATGGCTACCCGCCTGCAACCTCTCCTACGAGCTCTGACACCACGGCAGATTTGGTCGCGCACGTTGGCAAACATTTGGAGAGCTAGGTATTGTACCTGAGGAGAACGCTACTCTTTGTGCTATCGCCTCCAATTACGACGTTACTGTCTCGTCCTTTTTGTACTAAAATCATGACATGCGATACGATTTTCGGCTACTAGAAGAATATTACGGGTGGTGACAGGCGATACTAGGTGATCTGGTAGTATTGCTAAGATTGCACAAGGAACCAGAACTCTGTGGGCTGTGCGCAGCCGTGGGAAAACCTGCAGGGCAAGGTGGAGCTGCGCACTGACCAAGAGGGGTGGCAACGCAGGACCCACTCCAGTAGGCTTGCCTTTTCTAATCTACATGGAATGCAGCCCTAACCCTGGCACGGGCATTGCCCGTGACAAAGGAGTAGCTGAATTTAGTTGACTAATTAATTGTATAGAAGAGTTATTTTAATCTAATAATGAATTAAACTCTTTGTCATTAGTTATATAGGCGTATAAAAAATTCCTATACTTATTAGTATAGAAATGCATTTAAATTACTTATAAAATATTGTACCAAATGAAATATGAAAGCTTGTATAGATTCTATACTAGAAATACTCAAAGCTAATAAAATAAAACCTAGATGAGATATATGATGCGATCAATCCGAAACTACTCAGAATCGCTTAAGCTATCTATACCTCCAGCCTCGGAGTATGTACTTGCATTATGGCCAGTCTTGCGGTAGATGCTATAGAGCTGCAAACCCGTCCGACGCCTCTTTGATGGCCCTTCATTTCCATCCTCGACGCGCTCTTCATCTTCCACCACGGCTTTTTCTGCCATTTTTTCCCTGGCTTGGCTTCTATGGATAGCCCCCCCCACCCTAGAGACGCGTCCGTTTAGCTCTGCGACGCTTGGAGAGTGCTTCGCTGGCCTCCTGAAGTGTCCATACCTCGGCCTCCAGAAGGGCGACCCGATGGGAAACCGCTTGTATTCCCTTCGAAAGCTGGTCAATAGCGGCTAAAATCGGAGTTGGAGAGCTTCTCTGGTGTCTCGCAATCTGATCTCTGATAAGGACAGACTGCGAAAGGGCCTCGTTTGTAGTTTGGGGCGTCTTGGAGACCTATGGGGTCCGTGGTCTATCAGGGGTCCTAGGTGGTATTGGTGTTCGCAACTTGACATCCAACTTCGAAAGCACAGCCTGCGAGATGTAAGGAATCCTCGAAAACCTCTAAGAGCGTTTTCTTATGTAAAAGTCCGGTAGAACGCGGCTTTAAATGCAAGGAAGAACTCGGGCTTAGTGATATGCGTAATCTGCGCCTTGATGAAGAGTTCGATTTCAGCACCGTACATCTTCTTCAAGATGCTAAAATACAAAACATCGAGAGGCTGGGTAAGGTGCGACGAATGGGGAGGAAGATAGAGTTTTATAATATTGTTCTCCTTGCAATAGTCGTCAAATCCGGGGCTGATATAGCTCTCATAGGCATCTAGTACTAGTATCCAATATATACCTTTCCGACAGTGTTTCGTATGCTTATCAAAATGCTGTAGCTATTCTAAAGCAGTCTTGTTATCCGTCTATCCGTTGGCTGTTATTACGACGGCCTAGTCGTCGGGTGTCTAGTGCTCAGAGTACCAGCTGGCGAGGTGGAAACGGCCCTTCACCACCAAGAAAGGCGGTACTATATAGCCGTCGCCAGCGATACTGCAAATCGCTGTCGCCTATTCTCGATTGTCCGGCTGAACGGCTTTTAGTTTACTGACGCGATCGGAGCGTGTAATTACCACCCCAAGCCGTATTAAACTCATCATCAAGCCGGTCTCGTCGAAGTTATAGAAGTTGTAATCGAGGATACTGTATTTCGCTCGCATATTGGCAACCAGTCACAGCTATAGTTCGATAATTACAGGGTCTTCGTAGAGGCCTCTCTGATAGTTATAGACGCAATTAAAACGCGTCTTTAGCTCTAGACGTCGTGCAACGAAGCGGTTTGGCTAGTTCTTTCCAACGTGTCGCGCACCGCGTTTCCGAAACAGGAGATTGGCGATATCACCTACGTCGACAATTCGGGGCGAAAACCCTCGCGAATTTCGGTCGAGGACGTATTGAACAATGGCCTCCTCCTTCGATTCTCGTCAAATTCGAACGGCCGTGATAGCTGTCGGACTTCGCGATATTTCCCTTCATTCTATCTGCAATTGTAGACTTGGGGACATTGTATATCTCTGCGGCGCGTCGGATACTCAGCTGCGGTGTCGATCGAATCGCATTGATCGCAAGAACTCGGTTTCCTGGGAAGCCGTCGGACATTGTTGTGGTATAGAAAACGTGTGCTGAAGTTGGGTGGTTATGGTGGGGGGAAATGTGTCCGAGTCAGTGGGTTGTCCGAGTCAATGGTGGATCACGTTAGATATACATAATATAAGGACTATGAAGGTAATGGTTTACACTTTCTTTGCAAATCTTAAGTCATAGGTTCAATTCCTACATAGTCTTAATTAAATTTACTAACGTATCTTATAAGCGAGTGACCCATATAAACGAATGACCCCCCTCCCCCCCCCTCCGGCACCATAACAACTTCCTCAAATAGTCGCAACAATACTAAGAACTAACTACAATCATATCGGAAGCAGGTACGTCAGACAATTCTGCAGCTTCCTGACAGGTGCGAGCATTATGTCTGGGCTTACTGCACACGCTACAGCACCGAACCTTCTACGCGCCTCCCCCTCACTACCACAATCCAGCCTATTTCTTGCGCCACCTTCCCACCCATGGCCCTCTGGTCAAGTAAATCCTTTGCATCTTGTACCGCAAGTGATCCTCCAAGCCGTACGCGTGCTCTTTTTGCTCTCCGGCGCTTACTTAGTGCCTCGTTGGCCTTAGGAAACGAAGAGACCTCTGACTGAAGGAGGCTCATCTGGTGCATCACAGCCATCGTACCCTTGGCAAGCTGGTCCACAGCAGCTAATATTGAAGTTGGAGAGCTGTTTTGATGATTGGCGATGCGAGTCTTAAGAAGCGTTGACTGCAATTTATTTTCTCGGGGGTTGTGTGGCGTCTGGAATACCCAAGCTTGTGGAGTGCTGGCCCGCGAGTTCAGGGGTGTTGATGTATAGAGCCTCACATCCAGCTTGGAAAGCACCCTCTCTGGATTATACGGTACAAGGCCAGCACCTGCAAAGCCACTCCGTATATTCTTGTCTGTCATAGAGGCAAAGAAGGCCTCACGGAAGGCGCAGAGGAACTTGAGCTTGCTCACGTAGTTGATATGCATGCGCATCAACTCCTCGATTTGGCGACCGTACGCCTGCTTCAGCGGTCCAAAGCAGCCAACATCAAGTGACTGAAGGAGGTGGGAAGAGTGTGGAGGCATGCAGAGCGTGATGATATTGTTCTGCTGGCAGTAGAGCTCGAATTCGGTCGAGTGGTGGCTCTCGTGGCCATCGAGGATCAAAAACCGGTATTTGCCCTTTGCCCGTGGTGCCGTATGGTAGTCGAAGTGCTTGATTCAATCCAGACCTACTTTATGGTGGTCCAGCCATTGTCGGTAGTTGCGATGCGCCAGTCGGCCGGGAGGTTGCACTCGATGTACCAGTTGGCGAAGTGGTACTGCGCGGCCAAGATGATGAAGGGAGGGATAGCCCAGCCGAGGGCATTGATTCCTTGGATCACGTTTGCCCATTCGCGTTTGCCAGGTGGAGCCAGCTTGGCCCTGCTACGGCCATCCGAGGTCGTAACCACCATGCCCGCGAAGATAATGCCCATCATGAACCCAGTCTCATCGAAGTTGTAGACATCGTCAGGTACAATGCCGTACTTGGCCATGACGTTCCGTACGAGGGTAAACCACTGGCCAATGAACTTTGGATCCTCGCACTTGGCCCTCTGGTAGTCGTATTTGCGCGAATAGCGCGTTCGGAGCTCTGGCTGGCGTTTAACGAAGTTGTGTGCCCAGGGCTTGCCGACAGGGGGCGCGTCGCGTACGCGTAGCAGTTGGTTGGCCATATCTTCTACACTACGTAATCTTGGTGGGAAATCTCGCGCACATAGCTCAGTAACGTATTGAACGATAGCATTCTTCCGAAATCGGTAAGCCGGCGCGAGTTGGGTGTAGTATCGCATCATGCAGACTTGCCGGCGCGTCGACGCGCTAGGGTTCTACGGTCGACCCCATAGATCTTAGTTGCAGCTCGCTCGCTTAGTTTTTCATCGTTTTGGAGAGCTTCGAAGGTTAAACTTAGCCGGGCTTCTTTTAGAGTAGTGGGCATCTTGGATAGTAGAGCAAATGTGTTGTTGAGTGCAGAGGTGTCGCGTGGCAGAGGTGGGTGGGTCATTCGCTTATATGGGTCACTTGCTTATAAGATACGTTGATGATCTTAATAATAATAATAATAGGATATATGGGTATATATATATACATACAATGAAGGATAGTGAGTCGGAAGAAGCAGACAGTGAGAGTTATGGAGCATCGTATTCATCCCAACCTAGAGTTATATCTAGTTGGGTTGAGCGATGATTCTTACCA